CATATTTGTTCAAAATATCAGATCTCTCCCTCTTACAGTTCTCCAGATACAACTATTCAAAGTTGAAAAAACGTCTGTGCGTTACCTGCGTTTTGCATGATTAGTGATCATCCATCAAAGCTATTCACGTCCTCATTGTTTTATTTTTTTCCATGTTAAATTAATAAAATAGCGTTAGCGATGAGAAATATAAGGTATAGCTTTGTATTTATTGTGCTGAATGTCTTTTATAGAGGTATTCTGGATCTATTCATCAATATGCTATCTGTGATCGTTATATTCTGCTTTATTCTTCATTATATTAAAAAGATGTTAATGCATTGATTTCCGTGACAATCACGGTCTCTAAATCAAAAACACAGTCCTTGAACAGTGATGTGTAGTATACATTAGATATGGTCAATCGTTTTCAATGCGGACAATGAAATAATTACTTGGGGATCGTTGAACAACGAATTGAAGGATCTTCATCGATTCGAATGAGTGAAAATAGGTAAGATAAGACACAGGAATTTACAAGCTTTATTTCAGGACCGAGAAGATAAGCTAGTCATGCATCCGGAAGCGGAAAGTCGTGAAACAACAGAAGTGTTATTTGACATTCCTGGCGACAATGGTTTTTACGATTATGATGATGATGATGAGGATTATGAAGATACGAAGAACATTAAATACTCATTACAAAAGTTCCTCGACAAAGCATTTATCCGATATCTATGGAGTTGTGGATTGGATGCATGGCAACAAAAACTATATATTTTAAAAGAAATATCACGATATGCCAGGTGGAAAGACAAACACGGGTCAACTTAATCAATTACGCCGTACATGATTGCACGGCAGTTACTGAAATCTACCGAGCAACGTGTCCCGAACGAAAAACTAAACCAGCCATCGCCAACAAACAACAACATATCTCGATCGAACTCCGAAAAACCACACAATTGAATCACTGTTATCAGAGCGATCTTTCGGATGTCAGTGACGACGAAATAGAATTATACTTATCACAAACCAAAGTAAAATATCAACAAACTCAAACGAGTCGACCACAGGAGCTAGCAATGGAACTTGCATCAGAATCAGATTTCGAACTCGAAACCGACCCAGAACAGCAACGGAAACGAACCTGTCCTTCTTTTGTACATCGAATCATACGACCCGTCTATTATCGGTATGATTATCGAAAGATCAGGGCGTAGTCGCAGGAAGGTGAAGTCCATCACACGCACCAAATTCACATCAATGAAGCAAAATCGGAAGAGCTGAAAGAAGACAGGAAAAAGAAAGTCCCAATCGGCTATTTCACACGCAGCCAATACTCCGAACGTTGGAATCAAAATTGAAAAACAAACAAACAAGCAAACAACGTTAACACATGCACATGGTCAAACAAAGATAATCACGATAGATTATCGACGCATATTTCGTTCTGTCCGAGTCCAAGAAACCAATCGCCAACAAACACGCATCACACACGATCACACCGAAAGGCGTCAATAATGACTTTGAAAGTCTTTTTGTTTGTCAAATTTTTCTCTCGTTGTCATTTTTCTTCTTTATCATATTTTTCAGAAATTCTTTGTTTGTGTGCGAACATACATTATGTAACGTGGAGGGACGGATGTTAGCGCAGCTTTGTTCTCTCATCTCTATCTCTCTACGTTGTCGTTTATATATACATGTGTGTGCATATATTTTATCAATAGAGAATAAACCGGTGACACTTTTGCGAAAGGAGAGCTACTAACACGTCGATTGTTGAAGTATTATTACATGGGTTAATGTAAAAACAAGTGATCTTGTTAAACTGAAAATTAGAAGAACTAAAAATAAAAGAATAAAATAAAAAAAACGTGAAGAAATAATTTGTGTTTGAATGTGATATTCATCCGTATTTTCATGTTCTGGAAATATACTGAACTCTACATCATTTGACTTGAGAAGAAAATTTATATTCTTGGTATAGATATTGAATCGGTATGAAGCTAACACCGGAAAACGAAAAATCATTCAAAACTTTTATGTTCAAATGAATTCCCGTCAATGAAAATGACTTCATTCGACGCAGAATGTGACTCTAGATCGAATGGTGATACTTGTAAGAGCGGGAAAACGATTGAATAAATTTCACCTGTTTTTTCCTACTATGCACAAATGTATAGGAAGATTTTTGTAGAACTTTTCCAATCGTTTTTCTGTACTTAAAAATATCACCATTCGATGCAGTCACTTTCATCGACGGAAAATTCATTTGAACATAAAATTTTGAATAATTTTTCGTTTTCTGGTGCTATCTAAATGGTGCTAACTTCACAGTGATCTGTGTATATGACTCAATCATTCTGGTCGTATGCACATAGCTCATGGCATAATGCCATGAAACGAAGAAGTAAGCCCCGTCGATATCGCTTTTCAATGAATAAAAATGGCACCGTTCGATATAGAATTGAGTTCTGCGCCGAAAAGACTCATTTTTATGGATGGGAATTTATTTTCTCAAAATTCTTAGTTTCATGGTGCTAGTTTCACACCGATATAAAAATTTGTATCAGTTGTACTTTCTATTGCTTCTATAAAGCAATAAATGAATTCTATATCAATCTAATTGGTTGAAAAACGACAGAGGATCAGTGTCAAGAAGGTAGATTGAGAATAACGATTTGAGCTCTTACATGAATTCGCATTCACTTTCACCTTACAATTTGATGACGCGAGTTTGAAGAATTCTTTCTTCTTTGTCTTTGTTTCCTTTTACCTTCGCTTTCGTGATTAAAAAATATAGAATTTATTCATGATCATTGAACTGTTTTCTCCTACAATCAATCAAACAGTTATCTTATTGATAATAATTAAAATATCCTTCATATGGGTATGGATAAGTATATCCAGTATTATAGCTACCATAATGTATGCTATTGCAAAGATTTGTATATGGTGCCCAATTTATTGGAAAATTCAAAGTAAGAGTTAATGTATTGAAATTGAAAGATTATGTTGTAGATTTGTCTTCAGAATTGGTTTTCCTACTTGGTTTGGTGTTTGTTTTTGAAAGAGATACCAAATCGGATATATTATCAATTGTTTCCAGTATAAAAGGATTCTAGAATTAATCAGTTGTAAAATAGTTCTCAAATGAAATGTACTATACCCTTTCTTTGTTAGTTGATTTTTGTATTCCCTACAAATAATAAAACATTTATAAAAAGAATGGAAAGCTTACTACTTACCGGATTATCTTTTATAACACGAGCGAGTTGTTCGATTTCAAAATCACCTACTTTATCTGTAACAAGATTAAATTTTGAAGCGTTCTACGAATAAAAAAAACAATCTGATCACATTTTTAACCGAAAGGAACGACGAATTTTTTTACAATTTTATTCTTTAATGCATTTTGAAACTGTATGTTCGTGAAATATCAAAGTCCATTCCAATAAGACCTAAGATTTGAATACTCTATCCAACAGGTAACGCTCGTCGTGCCGACTTACTTAACCCTCGACTGAGGAGGGCATATAAAAACCTAAATTTTATACTTCCAATGCAATATGCAATAAGAAGAAAGAAACGATGACGCAATACAATAAGCGCTAGGGCCATTTCAGTCGAGCAACATCACAACTATACACAACATATCAAATGCGCCACGAAGCATAGACAAGGGTCAAAAATATAGAACGTCAATCATCAATCTCAGTCTCCTCTAAGTCAATATCTCTTTCCACGAATCCTCACCCTCACCCACCCTCATCACACTGTTAACAAGCATGATTACCTGAATATGTTGAAAAGCTTTTTTCATCCAATCGTACGACGACAAAAATTTGATAAGAAAATTTACTTTCAGCAGACTGGTGCTCCAATCCACTTTTCTAAACAAGTATGTGTCTGATTGGATGAACAATTTGGTGAAAGATGGGTTGAGAGAGACGGTTCCATTTCATGGGCTCCGCGTTCTCCCGATTTGACACCCTTAGATTTTTATTTATGGGGTTACATTAAAAGCTCGATCTACACGACACCTGTCAACAATATTCACGATCTGAAGGAAAGAATAACGGACGAAATCAAAAATATAAAACAAGAAACATTGAACAAAGTATTCGGAACTATTGTTAGACGCATGGAATTATGTATCAATGTTGCTGGTGACTCAATTGAGAAATATCTATGAAATTTTTTTTTCGATAAAAATTTGGGATCATGCTTTTTCAAACAAAAAAAATTATTATTTTGTATTAAGAAATGACTAAGATATTCAATTTTACTTTTGGTAGGTGACTTTCCGGACACCCGGTACATGAAGACCAATTTATTGACAGAACAACAACAGATAAGACAATATAAAAAGCTTACAACATCGATATTTCTATTAACGAAATGATATTACAGTATACAACATTGATCTTTGCTAAGGCTTGTTTGATTCTCTACTGATCATTTGTTTTCATATTCAATGAAAAATAATTAATGCGTTGTTTTAAGTTTGACCAGCTTGTAGACGATTCATGGGCAAAATTTCTTGACGAACAACTCGATTACGTTGCCAAAATAGAAAGATATTTTTACATTTTACTTTCAATTCAGGTAATGAGAGAACACTTGCAAATGGAGTAAAGATTATAACCCAATAAAAAAAGAAAGAACCATCAAGAAAATAATCACCAGCGACATAAGATGGTAGACCAGCTGAATATGCAGTATACAAAATCATTGGTGGAAATGATATCAGAAGATACAGAGCAGATATCGGTAACAATTGCACTGCCATTCTCTTGTAATTTCTCCATTCAATTCTTTGATGCATGCGATATTTGTGATATAAAACACGTATCAACAGAGCAATACTAAAGAATACAACAATAAATGTCGGCATAATATAATGAGCAATACTATCAAATAAACCTATCTTCGGATTAAGAAAAAGACACACATATAGGTTACATACAGGTGCAGTATAATCGGGTGGAAAATTGCAAGGTGTTGTTAAGTAAAAGACAAGATAAAATGCTACTGGCCACAAAATACATATTGCCAAAGGAAGAAAATGAAAGAAAAGAAGTTTAGTTTTCGTTGCAAACCATCTCGAATGAAAAATGAGAATATGTCGTTCAATCGATGCCCAAGCCATGAGAAGGCCAACAGATATAACACCAAATAAATTAGCCAAACACCATGCTAGACAAAATTCATATGTCGATGATAAAACAGTACCAGTGCGATATAAATGAATTAATAACACAATAGCAGTAAGTTCCGCGAAAAGTCCACAGATTAACAGAAGAATAATAACATGATTGTTAAGAGCTGTGCGAAGTGTTCGACTTCTAAGAAGATGATAGAGATTAAAGATGGAAACTATAATAGATGGAATTAGTGGTATAAGAAGAAGCCAAAAACGAATGGAATATGAAATTGTCATTGTAATTAAGGATGATCTAAAAACTAGAATAAAAAAAGAACACAAACAAACTAACTCAGTGCATTGACTGATACTAAATATATTGTTTAGAGCATAGCACATGGAATGTATAGTGACTAACTCTTAAAGAAAAATATCCGATGATGCACAGAACTACAATTCACTCTTCTTTAATAAACTATGCAACTTTAAATAATAAGGATAAGAAATGAAAACTATTTCTTCTTTTTCTTTTTCGGGACACTAGAGATGTCACTCAAATGCTTCTCTCATCTTGTATACTTGTGCATATCTTGATAGGGCAGAAGACACTTTTCGGTGAATATATTTTAAGTGTTATATTCATTAGATTATTTTAAATATGAACGCCCGATTTCCCTACCGTTTATATCTTTTGATCGTTCGTTCATTAAATTTTCTTCTCAACTTTTTAAACCCATTGAAACTATTTCAACTGTTATTCTAAAAACATTGCCTCTCTAGAAAGCTCAAACGTTAATAATGTAAAATTCTTTTTCTGTTTATTCATCGCATAATCAAAGTGCCATATTGAATCTGGTTTTTAAAACTGACAATTTCGCCATCACATACAAGGACATACGATGCAACAGTAATTTGACAAGATGTTGTTCTTTGGGCTTTTCATAGATATACTTTATCGTTTCCACCATGCGTAGAAGTGAAATAATATGGCAAAGAAGTATATCTTAAAAAATATTCCGCACTTCTTCGAAAATTTAGCAAAATGTTGATTTTCTTGCTTGTTGTATAACTTTTCGACAAAGATGTTTTGAAAGGAAAATTTTCTCTTCTTTCGAATAGTATGTAATTTGTTTTATTTTCAGTCCTATTTTTTAATGCTATCAAGCAGGAAAGAAAGGAAACACTCGTGCATTAATTTTGCATGTTTTTCATAAACACGTCAAAAGACTATAGTAAACAAGAATAATTTAGTTCATTTTGCACTCAATAAAAAGCGCTTCTCAGACAGAAGTTACTCGTATATTTACGAACTTTTAAAATCTATGATTTCGATTAGAGTTCAGTATGATTAACTACTCTCAGGAAGTTTTTTTAAATAAATTCCTTGTAGGTGATTTTTACTTTTTTCTTGTTTGATTCAGTTGGGGAATATGAATAAAATAGCAAATTACGTACCATTCGAAAGAGGTGAAACTTTCCTATCAATTTGTAACAGAATTTTCCTGTCAAAAAATATTTATTAAAGAAATATAGGGTTCAACATATTCTATCACCTTTTACAAAAAAGTGTGGAATGTTTTCTAAGAAATACTTCTTCTTTGCCATATTATTTCATTTCTAGACATGGTAGAAACGATAAAGTATATCTACGAAAAACCCAAAGAACAACATCTTGTCAAATTACTTTTGCATCGTATATGGAATTCAATGATCATGATAAATAGCCGATATGGTGTCTATAAGCTGCTGCGGCGCGACCGTGGGATGGGTCTCTGTTTTGAGAAAATTGTGGCTCAACTTTCTCCCAATTTCACTCACGCTTTATCTCAAATTTCTCTTGATTTTCTTCCAATGTGTGAAAAGTTTGATGAGTGATGTTGCTCTGATTTTCGAGCGAAATATCAGGTGAAGCCCGATGAATGTAAGGAAGAATGAAATTTATTTAACTGCTAAGCGATCGAAGGCGTTAGAAGTCGAGAGTGAGTAAAGCTACCGTTATCAGAAATTTGTGCTATGAAAGAAAATTATTCGTGGAATGTATGATTTATTCAGAAAAGAAATTGGAAGAAATATGTATTGGTAATGTCAAATTATTTTATTGTCTAGTTGAATAGTGGGGCTGAGAGTATCTGAGAAATTTCTGTTTGTTTTGAACTGTGACTTTACATTGGGATTGTTTTTGGTGCCGACAATGAGGCGGGTATTAATCACTGGAGTCGGTTGAAATTGATGGATCCATAGACGATGAATGTCAGCTTTGTAGCTGCTTAGGCGTTTCTCATGGGTGTAGTGAAAGATTAGATTGACATCCCATTTCGATTGCTTTGTATTTCGTAGGTTAATGTTTTGTTGTCTCTTTGCCGATAGTTGATGCTGCTTTGGACTGACGAGATTGGAGTGCAATTTCTTGAACTACCGGTTGATCCAGAAGTTTCCGATGGATAGCTTGAAATGCATAGTCAGCCTTCAATGCGTGTGTCAGAATGGATTTTGTGGTATGCTGGACGAAAAAAGTTTCGAAGTTGGGTACGAATAAACCTTGGTAGATATCTGTATGACGTAATATGACTTTTATAGGTGTAGGTTTTGACCTTGGACTCACCCATTGTATAGAAAGTGACGCGGCCAGTGGCCGCTAAACCCTCTACTGAAAGGATAATATTAGAGCGCTAATATTCGTCCACGGAGAGAAAGAAGGTATTCTAGTTGAACGATCTGATCATTTGATAATTTGTCAGAATGTTTTACTTAGATCAATTTCGCTTTCTAAAATCTTCTGAAATTAACGCCTATTCGTTCGTCGGCTTTCCTTCGGTCGGTCACTCGCGGCTAGCCGTTACATGTACACTTTTACTCTTCCATTTAGTCTAGAACCACTTTTGAAACGAATCCATTCATTTTCTTCTATTCCTTCTTGAAAAGTGACCATATTCGTGCTACTGACTGTGAGTCTTGAAGACAACACTTGACAACCGAAACATTATTTTGAGCGACCGGCATCAGATGATATTCGTATAGTATAGCTGTTTATAAAATTGTGTCATCTCATTAGTATGCTGATGACTATGGAAATCCAGTAAAACACTATCGTCTAAAAAATTGATCCTTTGTCGCAAAGAACGAGCCAGAAAGTGTTTGTGAAAAAACGAACATCGGATTCGTGATCCTCGACACCGATTACCTTACCTGTAGTCAATCTTTGATGACTATCTCGAACTTCGTAAAGACTTTCAAGAAAATGTTTCTTTGACTCTGGCATAAACGAACAATCAAACCCTTTTCACTTTTTTCGCATACACCCTCCTTTCAGTCGAGAGAATAAAATAAAACAAGGTTTGATTTCATTTTATTGTTTAATAAAAATCACTCACCGAGCTAATTTCAATTACACTGACTATTTTTCCCATTTGGAATAAAAGAATATTAGTACCAATTAGATTAATTATATGAATATTCGAAATAGGCAAAGGGCAAAAAGCGGATACTGAATTTTTGGATTCTAAGTTTCCGTCGTGAAAAATATAGTTCTCCTTTGATTTAGCAGAGCGAAAGGACGGTATAAGAGAGAAATGAGGCTTCATATGATTTTCTGTTTAATATTGTTCCTTTTTAACTTTGTCTTCCTCCTTTATGAAGTAATCAAGTACATTGTGTTTAATGACTGAGCAACTGTTTCTTTTATAAAGAACAAAAAAATCTTACTGAATTATTTTCTATTGCATTGATTTATTTAGCTTCTTTTGAATAATCAAGATAATCATTTGGAAGATAAACTGATTTTCTTTGAATATTATCTTTAGATAAATATCCAATGATTTTTAAAGTATGAATACTCTATGTAAAGAATAAATAAAATAAAGAATATTTATCGAAAATATATGCTTACAGAATTAACTTCTATATGATAAATCGATTCTCATTAAATTAATTGTATGAATTTTCTTTCAATGAAAATTAAATCAAATAACTTTTTATTACTTACAAATCTTTCTTACAGAACTCTTTTTTAGTCCATCAATAAAACTATGCGAACCAAAAGAATAACTAGTATGATTATAAGGCAAAGAAATAGTATTTATGTGCTAAAGTTAAAATGAAATCATGACTAAATTTTAATATTATTTTGAATTCTTACAAAATTTCTTTTTGAATGACTTTTGTTAATAGTTGACTTGAATTATAAATATTTGTATCTTTTGCAATATGAATTGTGTCAATTGTCTATATCGAAGAAAAACATGAATGAAACTATCAATAGAATTGCTTCTCTTACTGAATCTGATTTGATTTGATTACAAATACCATCGATATCAAAATGAATGAACGAATATGTAGCCATATTTGTCGATATGACGCTTTAGTTTATAGTATATATCAAATACATACGTATATATATGCTGTTTTTATAAGGAAGATTTACTTCCTTTTTTTCAAAATGATCGTTTATATACGTATATAAAACATGATGAATGCTTCATTAATTTTGTGGATTTTATCCCATTTGTAAAGGTGTGAGTAGGGAAAATTTAAATGAAATGAATAAATATACTTTTGATTATTATTGAAGCAAATTTAGACGGTTTTCTCTGCCTTAGTGCTGTAAAACAAACTCATTAGGATCACGTCCTTTGTGCTGGAAAGAATGCTTATACAAAGCACTATCATTATCTCGAAATCAGAAAGTTGTATAGTTGCATAAATTACAGATATATCCATCACAGGAATATAAAATAAAAATAAATCACACGTTTTGTCCGTGTGGATTGATATTATTTATTTGAAAAACGAGAAGCAGTGTCTACGATCTTCCGTAAATCTTTCATTATTATGATCGTTTTAAGTCTAGTCTGTTGTCAAGGTACGTGTAGTCGAACAGAAAGGACTAAGTTGAGAACATTAGTTCTGCATTTATTTTGACGATTTCTTTATTTCCAGATCGTTTTTGTCGTGGAAGACTTTCAAATTCTCTAAATAATGATTTTCAATTACCAAAAACGAGCATAGGATATGTAAGGACATTTGGCATATTTCTTCTATTCCTAATGGCACTTGATCATCTTTGTTTAAATAGTTTTTAAACTCTATCAAATGAAGATTATGTTAACATAGGATCAAGAAGAGAAAACTGTCATTGATTTCAATCTGGCTATTGATTAAGTCGTTATTTTCAAAATGATTTATTTCATGGACCTTTTCGTCTTTCACTTTTATTCGATCCGACAACATGGAAAATAAATGGGATTGATCATATTGGACAGTTTGATATTGAAGGTATTTATTCGACAGAGAGAAATCGTATGGGTTTCATTAAGAAATATCGAAAGAGAAGAGGTGATTCTATCGAAAATCATGGATATAATGTTACAATTTAAGTTGGTTGAAATCTGAATGTATATCAATTTGAAGAGAAATGATTTACAAAAGCAAAAAACTATAGTGGAGAAGAAAATTTCAAACTTATACTTAAAAGAACTTCTCGATCAATGCAATAATAATACAAGAATTAATGAACGTGAGTAAAATTTTGATGTATAGTTATGTTCGACCGATTTGCATAGTTTCTCGCCAAAGCAAACTTTGAAGAGCTAGTTATGTCTTATTTATTGTTGAAAACATATTTTACAATCAGGATCTTTAAGGCTATTGTATTTTTTCGACAAGCTTTTTCGAATGTTCAATATATGCTCTTACTGCCGCATCATCATCACATATTTGTGATAGTTTTTCACCATCTCGGTAAAATCCACCATTTTCTAATTCATTTGTTGGTGTATTGATCATGTACAGAATTGAATCAGCACCTAATGATGCTGATCGAGCGCCAGCAGCATTATTATTAAGATCGGTGGCACAAAATCCTGGACATACAGCATAAATCGATATATTTTTTTTATGAGAATATTCGCGCGCTTCAATTCGTGTAAGGGCAATTAATGCAGCTTTAGAAACAGAGTACGCTTTAAAAGGTAATTCAGAAGGATATCCCATATGTTCTAAATTATGAGATTCAAATGCTGAAAGAAAATCTTCCACTAAATGATCAAGTTCTTCTATTGTTAATGTGGATGATGTATATCGTTTTTGAAGTTCTTTTGAGCAAATATATAATCCCATTGAACCAACAGTACTAGCAACATTAATAACACGACCATTTTCGTGTAATAATGGAATTAAATGTTCATTAACCATTTTAACACCATAATAATTCGTTGCTAGTGTTGATTTTGCTGCTTCAATTGAATCTTCTCTTGGTACAATTCCAGCATTATTAATTAATATATCTAAATGACCATTATATTTTTGCTTAATTTCATTCGTAGCCAAAATAATACTTTCTTTTGATGATGTGTCTAATTGTAATAAATGTACATTTGATGGACAACCCAATTGCTGGATTGCATCTTCACCGCGTTTTATATTTCGACTGCCAAGAAGAATAACATCATTATTGTTAGTTTTCGAAGAAGATTCTTGAAGAAATTTCTTCACAACTTCAAAACCGATACCTTTATTTGCTCCAGTCACTAAAATTACACGTTTTTGCTCTGTCATTGTTGATGTCTTGTTAACTGAAATAGTTGCACGCTATGAGACGCATCGCGTTTTTATATAGGAAGAAAAAGAAAAGTAACGAGCGTATGTAAAATACTTTCCGTTCGCTTCGTACGCTCTCGCTTATTCTTTAAAAACAATATTTCAATTTGAAGGTCTGTGTGAATGCAAAGGAGAAGCAGTTAATTCTACATTTATAGCATCAGATATGTTTAGAGAAAAACGATCGTATTTTCTTATTTTTACGTTAAATTGTCGAATGTATTAAAGGCCACGATCATGTGTGGCCGATGGAACTTGAAAAATATACTTTGTATGATAATTGACACAGCGATGATCTCGTGCTGGCACATATTGATGACGTGTTGAATGATAGATCTTGTCTCTATGAAGCATTATAAGATCCGATTGAGTAACAAAAGCAGTGTGATATGCATTGCCGAAGATATCCTCCGGATTTGAAGCCGTATAGAAGTTTAAAGCAAATAAATCATCTAAGCCAATTAATTCTTAAATATAAAAGAGTGAAGTCATGAAGATTCAGCCACGTTTTGGAAATTTTTTTTTCGATTATCTTTCGCTTCAAAAAGCCGGTGTGCTCTAGAAACCACTTTTGATAGAAAAACGCCGGGAACCCTTTTAAAAGATCTTTTGTCGAGATTTTTTAGTACTCATAAATATCCAACAAGTCTAGAAACATGTTTTCTGGTAATAAGTACAGTAGTTTTCTTGCACATCATATGTGCATAACAACAGTCCCTTTTCGTGAATGTGAGTTAGATGCAATTAATCCGAAAAAATCTTCTCTTATTTGTTTCGAAAAGTTATAAAAACGTTAATGAACTTGAATTTTGCTAAGAAATCTATCCTAAGCGATGAACTTCAGACGAAAGAACTCTAGTATAACGAGGAATACAGTCGCCCAATCTGTCTAAATGGTGGGTTTCATCACTAAGTTTGACCTTAAACAGATGTGATCGATTAGGAAAAACATAAAAAATAGTTTTATTCCAAAAGAAAAGGTTCTTATCTACGTTGATCGAGACGTCGAACTATATTGAACCATTGAATGGCTAATAGGTGCATACCGCGAACACCTTGTATCGTACCTAAATCAGTACACATGTAAAAGAATAGAACCTAAAGTCTTTCTCGTCTCTAACTCGAACTTTTTCGCTTCTGCTTTTTAAGCAATTATTCGTAGCTTCCTCTATTTCGTCTGAGTCAAGATAGAAGATATTGACGCAAGGATAACCTTTGTTGGATCTTCTTACTGTTTCGAGTTGTTCTTTTTGTGAAAAATTATAAAAATCTTTTTACGTTTGACATGAGAATATTCTTAGAAGGCGTAGTACATCTGACGATTGATTTTAATACTTCTCATATTCCGTCACCACCGCTTTTACCATGGCCCGTAGCTGTAAGTGTCTATGAAGCACCTAAGCTAAAACCCTCTTGCGATGAATCAGGTTCAAGATACTAGCATTGTTTTTGGAATGGGCAGACGCTCCACCACTAAACAAAAGAAGATAGTCAAAATAGCACACAATCGACGTGAATAGCACGATTTATGTCACATAATTAAATTTTTCCAGCAATGGAAAGTTTTTCTTAATAAATTCTACGAGAATTTTTTGTGCACAGTGTACAACTGCTGTTGAATGCTCCATATAATTACTGATGATCGCTACATGTCTTCGTTCATTTCCAATGGTAAGATGGATCAGTGTATAATTCATTGAAAAATCTGTTTGCGCCATCGCAAACGAGTCGTCCGTCTATGAACAGTTGTTGCATTTACCACTGAAGCATTTATCGTCCGATTCTGTGCACACCATTTGATGAGTCAGATCTTTCTCTGTAAATCTATTCGATGGCTGATAACGCAGCTGTACTAGCACATTTTCGACAATGACTGTCCCAGACCTATAATGAAGCTGTTTTAAGTTCAAATCAACATACAGACGCTACAAACCTTCAGTAACAAGTCCAGAATATCGTTCTTCGAATATATGGTACGCGTCCAAGACAGTAATTTCTAGAAACCGAACTGCTATACGTTGTCCGTCAATTTTAATTGTACCTTTCGAATTGGATTCAGAATAAAACTGTATTTCCTCGTAGACTCTGAGTACGTTTTGATTTAAGCCTAATAAATGGAAAAGAGTACAATACGGGCCATTTTTCAATTCATTTTCTCAATCCCATTCTTTCGGAGCAAGTGTCATCCAATGCATCACGTAATCAATTTAGTTTACGATATAGTTCATAAACTAACCTGTCATGAATTGGATCATTGTTCAGTAGTTCGAATGCAGCTAATAATTCTTTCATTGCTTGGCGTTTCTTTTGTTCGAGTCCCAGACAGACAAAATTTTCAAAAATACGCGTATAAACGCTTGAAAATGTGCGCTTTTTGCGAATTTATTTTCGTCAGAACTTAACGCGTTTCTACGCGTTTTACTCTTGTAAAAAACGCATAAAAACGCGTATTTTAATGAAAAAAACGTAAAAAACGTGTTAAATTTTAACGAGAAAAAGTTTATAAACAACGTACGAATTTCTTGTCGTTAAAACTTAACGCGTTTTTTACGTTTTTTTCATTAAAATACGCGTTTTTACGCGTTTTTTACAAGAATAAAACGCGTAAAAAACGCGTTAAGTTCTGACGAAAAGAAATTCGCAAAAAGCGCACATTTTCAAGCGTTTTTTCGCGTATGTTTGAAAAATTTGTCTGTCTGGGGTTCATACAAAACATGATCTGTATCTTCATCCATTGATTCAGGATCAGTTGTGTCCTCATTCACATGTAGCAATTCATCATAATTGTCATCTAACTCAGCTATAATACCACTATCCATGTGAGGATTTTGTTTTTCTTCTTCGTTCAATTCATTGAAATACATATTGGCAGCGTCATATCATAGTGAGAAATCAAAAATTTCGACAGTTATAATGAGACAGCTACATTTCCTTTTGGTACACGTGCAGATTTCTCATGCTTTATCGGATGTTCACATTTTTTTGTCTCGGCATTAGATTAAAATTTTGCGAAAAAAGAGGTAACGATGGTCAATGAATATCTTTTCCAATATTCAATGACTCGTACCGGAGTGTTATTCGTTTGAATGTAGGGTATTCTGTGTAAGACGTCACATTCAAACCTAGAAATGTCCTTATAAAGTAATGGAGAATCAGTCATTTGGATAGGATCGTCTATAACTGTTGTTGTAAACATAGAAATTGGGTCACCACGCATGATTTTTACTGAAGTGTCGTTGGGGTATGTCGTAGTGTGTATGGAGAACTAAAGTATCGCCGTTTCCCACTTGTCTGTAGACTATATAGTAATGTCGCTGATTATAATATGAATTTTCGAATATAAAAATCTTCACGCCTGGCCGGTCATTAGATACAGAAAGAGAAAAAGAAAGAGAAACAGAATAACAAGGCAGGCAAGAGAAAAGGTAACATATTCTCCTTGAAAATATTTCTTGTGATTCATTATCGACTATGAAACGTAGAAAGCAATGCAACGAAAATATAAATCACAAAATAAACATCTAAATACGACCGTACGAATTTATCGAATCGTCAGTATAACTTCGGTTTTTACATATGAAAAAAGTTTGATGGGACTTAAAATACTTCCTTTAGTTAAGGTTAAACGTTTGCTCACTAGATACTCAATAATTCTTCCGTTTATCGTCTTATTTCCTTTACTAATGTTTTGTTTGGGTAATACAACAATATATTTTCTAATACCTGATTTGTTTCGAAACATATTTTTATCATCCTCCCTACAAATAACATCATTATCTTCATCTGTATTTTATTGTACAAAACTCGAAAGTGAACAACAAGGTCGAGCATATCAAAAAGAATTATCCCAAAATCCTCGTTGGTCCGCTTGTTACATCGAAGATTATGTCATACAGTTGTATTTAGCCGACCTAGGAACTGTTCGTGAACGAAGAAAGTTACTATTTGATATTGGTGCAAACAAAGGTTATACAATCGCCACATGGTTCTCTCTTTGGAATCCACAAAGTCAAATAAATCCACGAAGTTTGGCAAATTATTTACGAAAGAATTTATCAATTTCCCAATGTGGAGAATGCAATGATTGTTTACAAATGTCTCTATCAACGAAAGTGAAAGTGTCTTTGGACATGAACATAGAGATTTATGCATTTGAACCACAACCAAGTACTTATGAGATTCTACGTCAGGTCAAACAATGGACAAATCAACGTTCTCTACATATTTATAATCTGGCGATGAGTAATCAAACAGGTACTGAACTTTTATTAAAATGTAATCCAGGTGATGAGTTTTGTGGATTGGAAACATCGAAAAGTGCTAGAAATATTGAGCGCTATTTGTTAGTGAATGTAACAACACTCGATACATTTTTACAACGATCACATATAACTGAAATGATTGATGTGTTAAAAATTGATACAGAAGGTCATGATCCATTAGTTCTCAAAGGAGCAGAACTCACTCTGAAACAACAGCAAGTTCGTTTATTAATTTTTGAACATCATGAAGTTGGGCTTTGGAAATATATTCATCTACGGGACGTTATTGAAAATCTCGACTTAAAAGGTTACACATGTTATATGTTTGGAAGAACTGGGCTCATTAGAATAACACGATGCTGGTCATCAATTTTGAATAAGAAGAGATGGAGCAATGTTCTTTGTGTAGTGAGAAATGATGGAAGACTTCAACATATTATCAATAAACTCATCATTCCTCACACTTTATAACTTTTCTACGAATAAAAATATCGAAGAGAAACATTTCTCTCTGTTCTCAAAATCGAATAATTCTATCAGAAAAATTAACAGAAATCATTTCCGAAATGAATTAAACTTCAGTTACAGCCAAATGATTGTCTCAAGTGAAAAATACAGAAAATAGTCGAACTTTATTTCAAGAGTTTTTTCTTCTTCTTGAATACATGAACGAAACTCTTTGAAAATTCTTTTCTTTATGAAGTCTCTTTCAGAATAGCTACATGCAAAAAAAATGTCGCATAAAAAGAATTAGATTTTAAAATTAATAAACAGTAATCTTAACTGTTACGCAGTAGAACTCTTTCGACATACGATTTCGATGTTTTGGAAATAATTTATGGATCGATCGTTCAAATATTTCGCAATAAGAAAATCCGATGAAGCACTGGTAGTGCATAATTGTCCAGCGCACATTTGTCCACTAACAGCCGTATCTCCAATTTTTATAAAGATGTGACATACTTTCATACTTTCATGCTTAACACATAAACGTCTCATAGAAATGATTGTTGTTTTGATATCTTTAATAAAATTGAAAAGATCCTCTGAAAACATGGAGATCAACGTTGATAAATTTTTTCCGTAAATTTGAATGAATTTTTTTAAAGTGACAAAATATTCTTCTTGGTTTTTTTTTCATTGATATGACGTAGCTCGCCACCAGTCTATAATTTATTTTGAATTTCATGTCATAGCTGCCTATACATCTGATATTTCATTTGTGTCTTTATCGAACGAAATTCAACGTCAACATTCAATTCTCTTATCGTATCAATCAATAATTTTATGTATGTCTTGAACATTTTTCTTTTTAGTTACACAAGTCCATTACTTCTATATAGCTGGACGGAACACTGACCACTCTAACGAACTGTATAGTTTGCATTTCAGTTATTTCATATTTTGCCCAAAGAACTCATAAATTTATAAAATCGGTTAACATCTATACATTTGCAAGTGTATACCTCGTCGAAGGTAAAGCCGATTGACTGGAAAACATTTTCAAATTGAAGGAACTGGTCAGACTATAAGTTACAGCAACTATCACCTACAAAAAAGTATTTTGAATATGAAGGAATGGTCAAACTCCATTCATCGATCGACAAAATTGCAAGGAAAATTTTTCCTATCCTTTCCTTTTTGAATATTTTATGAAAAACTTTCAAATCCAATCTGAAGATTGGACCCTTACGTTAGAAAAGGTCGAAATTTTATGTTCGCAGAAAGTTTTTGTATTTAATATGCCCACCTCCATCCTCAATAGCGGCATCGCATTACCTTGTAAAAAATGTGAAAAATTCAAATTTTACTCCAAAATGATGTGCATCACAAAAGTATATGACATATATCAATCATTCACTACTAATTTTATATTATATTATAATTCGACGTTGATATCTTCACTCGTACTTTTCTTTTCTCTCTTTGATTACATATACATCACTAAAATACGAACTTTTTTTACTCATCATTCATGACGAATGCAGAATTTTTCTAAGTATGTTATAAAGCTACTTGTAAATACTATGACGATATGTGGTTATATGATAGAAATGAAGTGTTCTGTGACAAATATAAATCGTTTGAAAAACTTATTGAGATCATATAAGACACAGTTGCATTCGAAATATTTTATTTTATTTCGCATTTTATTCATTCATCATGAAATATTTGACTACCTTTCTTCTAATCGTTACTTTTTACAAGACTTTTGTTAATGCAGTGCCTGCATCAGAAGTAAGAATAATTACAACGATGAGCATTGTATATTTTCTATTTTTGTAGACTAAACGTCTTACTAATCCCGAAGAAATGGGTATATTGATATCTTTGTTCGAAGTATCCTCTATCGATAGTGAAACTTTTTTTAAGGTGGTCATTATCAAGGTGATATGGTTGTTCCTAAAGATGCACCGGTAAAAAATTTCTCAATTTGCATAAAGTTCATATTAAAAGATATTTGTTGAATGAAAAGCGAGGAGCAGCGAGTCGACCATCTTGGCAGCGATGGCCTAATGGTGTTATTCCATATGATATGACATCATCAATTTGTATTTTGAAAACGAACGAATTTCTTTCNTGGAATGTTTTTAAATTTAATTTTAAAGGATTTTTTCATGAACAATCTCGTCCTGATCGTGATGATTATGTTTCTATTCAATGGGAAAATATCATTAATGGTTTGTTTAATTATAAGTATATATCGAATGAAAAAAAAACATGCATTTTTCATAAGGCACTGAATTCAATTTTGCAAAGTATAGTGAAGATGATATTGACACTCTTGGATTACCGTACGATTATGGATCTGTAATGCATTATGAAGCAAATGCGTTTAGTTCAAATGGACAGCCAACTATTATACCAAAAAGAAACCTTACAACACCATTGGGACAGCGAGTTGGTATGAGTTCCATAGATATTGCTGAAGTACAGCGATATTACGGATGTTTATTACCTCCAACAACATTATCTTCATCAACTTTAATACGTCCAACAACGACAAAATCATCATCGTTAAATCTTATCGCGTCAATTAGTTTACAACTAGTCTTACTCCTTTTTCCTATTCATATTAATTATTAAATTTTTATTTCTATTTTTTTAATGTCATTCAATCGAATAAACTTGAGACCATTTGATATACTGTATAAATAATGATCGGAATGTTGCAGACATCGAAGTATGCTTGACAAAAAAGAGACAAAAGTCAATTTCATAACAATCACAAAAGAACGATCAATACAGGTGCATTTGATAATCTTTTAGATGTTTCAAAAATTGGACATGGAGAAAATCTGTGGTTTCATGTTGATGGTGCTTTTGGCAGTTTAATTATTCTTGATCTACAACGTTGCTATCTTATTAATGACATTGAAAAAGTTGATTCACTTGCTTTTGATTTTTATAAATGGGCACATTGTCCTTATGATGCTGGCTCTGTACTCACCGAAAAGAGCTAATTACTTTTTTCAACATTTTCTTCACAACAATCATATCTTTTTAAATCAGTACGAGGAATTATTGGCGATATGCCGTGGCCACTTCATTTAGGTCTTGATGCATCACGTTCGCCTCGTGCTCTTAAAATTTGGTTTACTTTAAAAGAACGTGGGACAATCAAATTAGGACAAAAAATTGCGGGAAAATGTCAACAAGCTCAATATTTAGCATCACTTGTAGTAAAATATGGTGATGAGGGTGAGTGTGATTCGTCGTATTTCAATAACAATCGCGAATTTTCGATTTGAACTTAATGAACTTGTGTCGGATATTTAAATATCAGGTGTTACAGTTCCATCAACGACACATATTCAAGGATATCTTTTTATTCGTGTTGCTATTGTTAGTCATCGATTAACTTTTGATGGTTTTTGATTTATTTGTTGAGACTGTCATCAATCTTTGTCACACTCGACTTCATACTATTGTACAAAACTCATAATATCCTGTGCCTTTTCTAATCGAAATAAATGCTGCAAAATTATATAACTATTTTATACACTGTTCTATCAGTTGTCGAATTGGAACAACTATGTAATAAATAAAACCTTGAAATAGTAGCAATGAACATTTTTTTACCAACTCCTTCTCCTTCGCGTAAACAAAAATAGCTGTAAATTATTGACTAATTTAACTAACACAACTATTATTACCATCTATAACGTATCTGGAGGCGCTTTTTCGTCATACACTTTTAACTATAGTACGTATATGTATGTAGTGAGACCATATCGTTAATAAGATTCATTGCAAGTCATCTTCTATCTCTATTTCCTGCTCAAAGAAAAAATGTGTAATGAATAATTGATACTTAAACGTCAATTAGGTAAAAAGAGTCCACAAGTATCAGCTATTGGTTTTGGTTTAATGGATTTATTAGAACTTTCAGAAACAACTCGTTCTGACGAAGAACGTATCAAAAGTCTTCATTGAGATATCGAGCTTGGCCGCGCTTATTTTAATGCAGCTGATAAGTATGGTGACAATGAAGATTTTTTGGGAAAATATTTCAAAAGTCTCGTCAAAAATATGTGAAAGTTAGTTTTAAAATATAAATGAAGAAAACTATTGAGTATTCATCTGCGTAGTTTCTTGTCTAGATGTTTCTTGCGACAAAATTTTACTTTGTTTTAAAACCAGATAGATCAATTGGTGTTCGAAATTATGTTGAAACAGTTTAACTTGACTTCAACTTGATTATGTTGGTTTATCAAAATGTTCAAGACATACATCGACGGGCATCAAATATTCATTCAATATTTGCCGTGCAACTTGAATATTCACTATTTAGTTTAGATATTGAAAAACCAACAATTGATGTTTTGAAAACTTGTCAAGAACTTGGAATAGCCATTGCTTGCTATTCACCGTTAGGTTGTGGAATGTTAACTAGACAAATCAGGAGTTCTGATGATTTCGACGCAAATAATGCTCATGAAGTATTTTCAAGATTTTCGAAAGATAATTTTTCCAAAAAATCTTCGCATAATAGAACTCTTGAGTCGAATTGTACAACGGGCCAATTAACATTAGCTTGGATACTTGCATAAGGTAAAAACTTTATTGCTATACCACGTATAACAAAAGTTAAGGGTTTAGAAGAGAATGCATGTGCACTAAATGTGAAATTAACAAAAGAAAAAATAAAATAAATTCGAAACATTTGTGAAGGTGTCCGGACGCAATGTCACATGACAAAACGTTGCGAGACCAATTGGTTCCGTAAACAAAAACGTTTTCATGAATATATTGTCGTAAGTATAGTGTTGCATAAATCAAATATCTAAATTGAAGATCGGTTAGTCTTCATTCAACAAGCATACTATTATATTCTGATAGCAGCTCCTAGCCATGCTTCCACGGCGTTGTTCGACCTTGGAAGATTATCGATGACACGTTCATACATATTCCATAATTCGTTATTAAATTTGGCTTTCTTTCTTCCAAATCCTACAGCAAAATATTTACATGAAGTTTATAGAAATACATCATTCTTACCTCGTTTGTCCTTTTCCCTTATCCACGTCGTTTTCAAATATTCGACCAGATTTTCAGCTTCATCGTCGAACTCATTAGCAAGTAAGTCGAACGCTTCAATTACTTCCGACGCTGGAACGAAGGGTAAAGCAAGTCATTTGCTAACATTTTATCGAAAAATATCGTCGTCCTCATATTTTCTTGCTAAACCATTATCTCGTACTTTATGCCATACTGCTTGCCCGAAATTGAATAGGCAACCTGAAATACAGGTTGGAAAGAATGGCAAGCAATTTATTTCCGTCTATTACCTCTATGAACGCTATTGGGAAAAATATCTTTGATAGTTTTGATCGTGCCTGATTCAACATCGCTCAGAATTGATTCTGGTTCGAAGTTGTCGTGTTCTAATACTTTTTCGAAGACTTTTTTAATAATCGTCAGCGCTTTTGCCAATTAATAATCCGTAGATAAGTGGGATAACAACAGATTTCAACAACGCGTGCACTGTGAATAATTGATAGAAGTCCTCTGAACAGGCCTACATAAAAGATATGATTGCACTATTTTGCTAAAGTGAGATATTTTCTATCAAACCTTGAAGACGCCGTCGACAAACCAATGCTTGCATTGCCTCAACAGCGATAGGTTTATCGTTGTAGCAAAAATTATCATTTGATTATCTTCATATAAAACAAAATCTTCTCCGCGATCTGTTTTTCTAAAAATGCCCCGCAGTTGACTGGTCGAAGTTGAACATGGCATAGGGCATTGTCTTCGAACAGTTTTCGCTAATGAAGCAGGTGATGGTATAATGCTAATTGTGGTCAAAGGCAATGCACGTAAAGACAATTGTATAATTGAGTTTGGTGCTTCGTCAGAACTCATGGCCTTCGTTTTAATATTGTTCTGGATTTGGAGCACGCGAGTCTGCTGTTGGATCCGACATGAAGAAATCCATAGCTAAGTTCGTATGACATCAACCGGAATAATAAATCGAAGAAACATTAGATTTACAATATATTTGGAAAAACCAATTACCTTTACAATTCCGATTTTTACAACGAAAAATGCATTTGTTTTCTGATGTTCGTTCTAACGTGTAAATGAAACCACGATGGGCTATCATGGGTCGATTTTTCTGGGACATGAGTTTCTCGATACACGACATATTTGCTCATTTAATAAATTGAATGAAATTATCAAGCGGTTCTTTTTTTACATATCCAAATAAATAAACTAATCAGACATCTATTCAATTTGACTTTTGGTCAAGTAAATAGATTATCTCTAATTATTAGAATGAGCTTTCTCTTTCAAGCGAATTGTTCTTATTTCATAGATATTAATTAATCTTAAAAAATGGGAGAATGAACGTTTTGCTTCTACGCTATTTTATATGTCAGGATGAATGATACTCATTTTGTCCGCTTTTATAAATTTGGAACATAAAATCGTAGAATAAAATAAGATGAAGCATATCGAAAAAAAATACCAGCTGACTCTCGCAACATTTTGTCAATGCGACATTGTATCCTACAGCTATTTGTGAAAACGCAGATATAGCTGGAGATCGTTGTCCAAAACAATTTCTCTATATGGCATTTATTGATTCTGCATCAATGAAAAGCTAAACTTATTCAGATTATTTTCATATATAGAAATATTTCGTAAACAATAAACAGAATTGAAAAAAATATATAAATCGAATGTTAGGCTTTTACGATATCTGTAGATAAACAAATACGAAGCCATCGGATTTGATGTTTACTACAAAAAGTGTACGAGGGAAAATAGACTTATAACTTTTCGTAACGTTTGCACATTGAAATTGCACGGCAAAATTTCAGTTGAGTTGTTGAAAATTTTATGAACGTTACTTTTTAGATATGCTCTTTGTTATGTATTAAATCGATCTGAATAGTATGCATTTTTTAATAGATTTTATTATAATTATTTCGATATAGGTTTAAGAAATTTGTAAAATAGTCTGCATAAGTGCTGTTATTCTATCTACAGTGTTTGTAGTGGTTATTTGATCGTGAAGAAATTTTCGGGCTGTTACATTTGCTAATTGAATTCGAAGAAGAATTTCCATTAATTGCACAAATTTCTGTTGTGCTTTTGCTTCACTCTGTTTCATAATGAGATAATTCCATAAGATTTTCGTATAGATAGCTTGTGCTCGATAGATTGATAGTGAATCTTTAAATATTGGTTCATCAAGATTCAATGACAAAGTTGGAGAGAATAAACCGATTACTAATAGAAGTGACAATAGTATTGGATCATGTTCAGTAAATTGAATAATAACAAGAGTTAATAGATTACTTCTACTTATCAAATCATTTGACATTTGAAAAAGAATTTGAGCTCTTGTGGCTCGTTCTTCTTCTTGTTGTATTTCGACAGCATTACGTAAAATTGTTGGTCGATAATTATAAGATTTGCGAATTAGCATAAGTGGAAATAAATTATATTTAATTAAAATAAATCGATCATCTGCATGTAAATTTTCGAATTCCGTTATTTGACGAAAAAACCGAATTGTTTGAAGGGCAATTTCACTATCATGTTGTGCCCAAGATATGATTGCTGAAACATTATCGGATAGATCAAATGTTTCAGGAAGATGGTCAAATTGATTTTCAAAATAGAATAAAAATAATGATTGAACGTTTTGAATAATATCGAAATCTTCTATGTTATTTGCAGCAACATTTTCATTCATACTTAATAATGCCTTAAAAAAGAGCCAAGAAAATCTTATTGACAGATGAACAAATCCCTACGGTTTGAATATTATCAAACTCTTCATTGGACGTTTTTTTCGTTTGCTGTCGATTAAGGATGAAATCTTTTCTCATACCCATTGAAAAACATTTATTTAATCGACATCGGAAACATCGTCGATTTATTTGATAATCAATTACACATTCCTTTTTACCTGTCAAACATTTTAATCTTTCCTTGAAATAATCAATATTCATATAAAATAGAAGGAAACTTTTAACTTTACCAAATTCTCATAAGCATGCCCATAAAAAAATGCTTTACATGAAGCACATGAAAGAACATCATAATTATACCCAATAGCATGATCACCACAAATAACACATCTTGAATTTGTTATTGATTTTCTCGAACGTTTTGACTGTTGATTATTTCGATCGCTTGTTGAACTCTATTGTCAAAGAGACAGAAAAAGAAATAATATTCTCTGTCGAATATACATATATATTACGCACATGTTTTGATACCGTCGCACTAATGGGTTCACCAGTATCCAAATCGACTATGTATGTATTTTTACTTCTTTTTAAAGATACTTCATGAACTAACTGTTCATCTGATGTTATATATATCAATTTTTTCTCAGTAGCCATTGCTTTGCCTGCTTTTTTTACTAACAATGACGATACTATTTACATGTGCGAAGAAAAGGAATATATTATTATAGTAAATGACTCATTCAACCTATGAATCTAAATGTTGAATTTCGACCGTAGATGGCGCAAATGATCGAACAAAATTTCCGAAAACCCGTGTTCATACTTGAAAAGTGAGACTTTCGAGTGATTACATGTGTGTGGAAATAAGTGGCCGCGTGAATACTAACCTTGACACTTTTTTCTAGAGAAACCTGAAGATTTTTAGTCGCCAACAATTTTTGTTTATATGCACGCAGATTGTTTCTAGTCAGTGTGATTTAAGTTGAAATGTCTAATTATTACGCGCTATCACACCAAATTCTGAGCATTGGCTTTTGGATATACGAGCTTATTCTTCGGGATTCATATCGTTATTACGCACTTTTGGTAGTTTTTTTCTCTGCTGGGGGACGAGTAAAAAGGATGAGTTTATCGATTGTTTATTTCATTGGATGTTCGAAATAATCACCTGCATTTTCTCAGTCCATTTTCGACCGTCTTTCCACACTCCTCTTTGTTCAGGGAGGGCATCAAAATTGACTACAGCATCATGTAATAATTGTGAGTTTTTATAATCACTCAGATTTTCTCTGGTTAGGTTAAATAATAGAACATCGCAAGACGATAAATCGGGAGAGTTGGATGCATGCGGCATTACTGTGACATCTTCTGATTTTCCTATTGCGTCTAACAACTATTTATTCAATCAGAAAATTGCTGATCTTCAATTCTTCAGATCTCTTTTTCTTATGGAAACTGTAGGTTTCAAATAAGAGATCAAACATACCCTACATTCGATTCACACAGATAATCTCACTTGCCAAATATTGATGAAAATTCTGCGGCATTAAAAGCTTCAGCTGTATCGTTACGTTCATTACTATTATGGTCAAAATGGTTCCAGTCGATAGCACTAACAAGGGAAATATCCGAAGTGTCCACTCATTTTACGGCTCATATTTTGACCATAGATAGACCTCAATGGAACGAGTAGGAAACCAAAAGAATTTGTGCCCATGGTTCCGTAGTCAAAAGTTATGACCACCTCATCGTTGATACGAAATATGTGATCAAGAGCCTGAACATTTTTTCTGCAAATCTTTCGATTTGAATAGTAACTTTTTCCAACGATAGCAGCATGTCGGCCAATGTATATCTGCGCTCCCTTTCATTTCTGCTGTGTAGCGCTCACAAAATGAATGTAATGAGTAATACGTAGGTCTGCTAGATTATGTGTATTTCTTCATTCACTTGCAAAAGTAAAATGATAAACATCGTGTCCGTGACAACCATATTGGCTGATCGTATTGCGAAAAAAGATTCGTATCGTCCTTCGGGTAACATTTATGAAGAGAGGCTCGCCGATCAGCTATATCTCAAGTACTTGAAGACGTTGCAACAAGTTCATCATGCCAAGTAGAAGACGAGAGAACACTCGACTACGACGACGAAGCGACCGGAAAACGAAAGTATACATGAAAAAGTGTCCAGCATCGATTTAGACGGATTCGTCACAAACGATATCTTGGCGCTTTCGCAAATATCTGGAAGATCATGGCACAAAAAAGCAAAAAATAGATGATATCGATACGTTCGTATTTGAAAGATTCTAAGCTTCGAAATATTGGATTACTACTTTTAAACACCATCACGGTATTGTCTCTCGAAAAATTACGACGTTCGTTACAAAACATACACTCGATGATGTTGAGAAAAGTGAATAAGTAGTTGCTCGATTTCTTTAAGAAGCCAAAGCCGCAATGCAGGACTTGAACTCGGACGTTAGTTATCAAGGTGAAAAATTGGCAGTGGTCGCTGTCAAGTCTAAAGTGCCATCACCCATTCTTATACTTTGCAACCACTGATCAATCAGGCCGGTGAAGTAGTAGGACCAATTTACCTATGTCTCAAGAAACCCGACGAACGGATAAGCGAAAGTTAGTTTGCAAATACTTAGGTGTATCCAAAAGTAATGTCGTCTCTATTTTATTTTATTTCTTAATTAAACGGGCAAAAGAAAATTATTTTTCTACACAAAGATAGAGAAAATGAAGCTCTATTTTTCTATGCTATTTGATTCTCCTCCCGTTAATACCATAGTAATAAGTTTTCGATGTGAATTATGTTTGTGTCAAACTTAAGTCGCGAAAAGGCCATTGTGAGTGTTCGCATTTTGTATTTTGTTTTTTCATTTAGTATTTTTCATCAAAGATTAAGCATACCAGAAGATGCAGGGTGAAAAGCTCTACAATTTGCAAAGAACAGTTTGTTTTTATTCTGTGCAGTTTGTTTTCAAAAAAAGAAAAAATCTGCGTAATCAACTTTCATGAAACTTTGAAAACGAAAAGCACATAATTAAAATAAACTATTCTGTGTAAATTGTAGAGCTTTTCACGCGCCATCTTTTGGTGTCTTTCGTTTTTTGAAGAAGATGTATTCGATCATGAAAGAGGAAATAAGGAAAGAAGTTTTTCGCTTGTGTAGAAGAAAAAATGATTTTTCGCAACAGCCACAATTGGTCGCACGGTGTTTTACTTTTTTTTAAAAACAAAAAGTGCACAATTAAAATAAATTTTATTTTTGTACATTGTAGAATTTCTCACGCTGCATCTTTTAGTATATACCGATTTTTAATATAATGTATTAGAAATACGAACATTCACAATGACTTTTTCGTGACTTAAGTTTGACACAAACATAATTCACATCGAAAATTTATTGCTATACTATTAACTGAAGAAGAATCAAATAGCAAAGAAAAATAGAGCTTCATTTTCTCTATCTTTCTGTGGAATAAGAATTTTCTTTTGACTTTTTAATAAAGAAATAAAATAGAGACGACATTACTTCTGGATACACCGAAGTATGTTTTTCCGTCTTCAGTTTGAACTTTCCTAGACGTTCGCGTAAAAATGTTTCAGCCAAGAAATGTCGTCATCAGATGTAGCAAATCTGGCAAACTGGCCAATTGGCTCGTTCATTACTGGTCTGATATGGTTCTGACTCCGAATGCACCCAAGAAATGTCTTCTTTTCTCGGATGCCTGTCCTATACAGAGTGACGTCAAAATATACAAGAAAGTGCCAGATCGCAACCGCTCGATGTGTTTTACAATCGGGAGATGAAATCAATAATACATCGTGCTTATGATCGCGTGATTCTCGAACAACTGCCAATTGCTATGAGCTCACCGGACAATATTATTCACCTAGTTTCGCTCACGCACAATCAAATGTCTGCGAAAGTTTTCAACGGTCTAACTCGCTACGCGTGGTTTGCCGGCGGCTATGTCGGCAAACATCCCGAGATCGTCAAAACGCTTCATGAAGTATGCTTTGACAATCACACGACCACTTGTCAGGTCACGAATTATGACCAATCCCCTTTTATTCGCTGCAGCTGGTGCGAGAAGAGCTTATGCTTCAACCATCTTATTGTAGAATATCATTTTCATATGTGATAGTTCATTTAATATCCATCATTGAATATGACTAGTTAAAACATTCGAGATGAAGTATATTAGAAATTTTTCAGAAATCGAGGCTTGGCATTCATTGAAAAAAACTTAGGAGCACGGTGTTTGGTGATCGTAGTAGGCTACAATAGTTACTTCAGAAAAAAGTTATTATTCAAATCGGAAGATTTGCAGAAAATATGTTCAGGCTCGTGAACACTTATTTCGTGTCAACGATGAGATGATCATAACTTTTGACTACGGAACCATGGACACAAATCCTTTTGACTTCTTACTAGTCCCATTGAGGTCTGCCTGTGGTCAAAATATGAGCGGTAAAGCGAGTGGACACTTCGGGTACTTCCCTCGTTAGGACTTTTTGGTGGGTTAACGATTGTACTGCCTATTCTTATACACCACTCGTCTTTTGCTTCTTCTGGCCTATCTGCATCACGTTCCACAGCGTTGGCCATGTTGAGTCATCCATTAATTGAATCTTTGATTTGATCTCTTCGCTTATCGCTTCATATTTTTCATTTAAATCAGATACAAATAAATTTCCTCAGGCATTGTCATATCTTTATCTCCTCTATTTTACCACTAAGCACGACAGAGTATCAGGTATTATAGCGTAGGTCTCATTATGGTGTCACACTCACTTTTCATCTCTCTCTTCTTCTGTTACGGCATTGTCATAACTTTTCTCTTACAACGCTCCTCCTTATTCCGATGAACAGTCCCGGATATCAATTTCTCATACGAAGAGTTTATATAATTTCAGGACAGCGCCGATAAAGGATGGAACAGAAGTCCTAATTCGACTTGTATAATCAAACTTTCATCACTAAACCATACATTTTTCATTAGCTTTAATTAGAAATCTGTTTAATTGTGTAATGTTTGTTCGTCAATCGTATCATCATACTTCAAGTCCTGTATATTTGTTGTCACTTTCTGTCTTTGTTTAGACAATGTTTTCATTAACGTATACACTTAATTATTCTGATCTTCAGACCGAATCTGAAATTTATTGTCAATGTGATAACATCCATTCCATGTTCAAATAATCTTCTTTATGGAGCGTTTACGTATGCTCGTCTTAATGAAAAAACAAACAAAGATTGTTTCAATCATCGATTAAAGTTATTTCGTGAAAAATTTATTTCAACTTGTGCAAATTAAACAATAAAAACATTCGTTGAAGACAAAATGATTTCACTTTGTGATTACAATCAAATTGTTCAACAAAATTTTCATCGAAATTCTTTTTCCACTCAAAACCATTTCCAGTAAAACAAAGAACATCGATGGATACTCGATTGAAGTATTTCATAAAACTTATGAATAGTTTTCTGTTGTCATGTGACCATGATTATATATTTCCATTGGCATAGAAAAAGAAAAGAGAAATTTTTCGCGTATACCAAAGTTAATCCGATCGTGAGAAATTTGATAAAAAATAAAACATTGTCGCGTCGAATTGACGAGAAAACAATTCAAATAAGTGTAATCGAAATTGTGGAATATTTCCTTAAGATTTCAATTCTATTTGATAATATTTCTTCTCAAAAATACGTTGTTATTGTTGTTTCTTTTTACTTTTTGCTCTTCGATGATTCATAAAATGATTTGCGTCATATCTATGTTTAGTGATGTGTGTTAGGCTTATTTTTCTCTCTCTTTAAATATTACTCGATCGATCGATCGATATTTTCAACACAATGATCAAAATCATTGGATATATTATTTGTTTCTCCGTGTTGTTTTCCATAGGGGGAATCATTTTAGGAATTTTATGTGGAAATGAATTCCATCGATTGAATCAAATTGTTACGCAACAGTGTTTTATCAAATCTCAAACAATTGCTCATCAACAATTCGTGTTCCATGTTCTTCTTTCTAATTCCAGTGGAACCAATGTGAGTACAGAAATCTTGTTATCAACAAAACATCGTCATGTAATTAATTCATCTGATGAATATCAAGTAAATGAAAAGATTTTGATTAAAAGAAAATCATTTGTCAAAAATTTTCCTTTAGAATAATCGTTCTTATTCGTGTTATTATAAAGTTCCATATCTGAGATCGGGTGAAGTTCACTTTGGTTCTCCTTCGAAAACACGAGCAATTGCTTTTCTTTCTTCTTGTATTATTTTGATATTCATCAGTAATTTCATGTGTTGTTTCAGTTGTTGTTGTTTTGTTTATTATCGAAGCAAATCTCGACACGAAAATAACATTGGTGTTCTTGACAACACGAGCGAAATCATACAAACATCATCATCGAGAAGTTTCAACTCAAGAAGAGATCGACAGGAGGATCTGTTTTCATACGAACAAAATCTTCCTCCTCCTTCATATGACGATGCAATACAAGGAACAAGTTTAAAACATCTACGAAGAAATGTTGATAATGTATTCAATCGATGGCCATTAGGAAGACAAATGCCAAATGCAGTTTGATTTTAATAAATATATATGTTCTAATCTGAGCAGATTTCAAATTGAAGTTTAAATTGAAAAACACATATTTTCATCTTGAACACATTTCGATTGAAATCTGAGAGTTATACGAACTTCAAAGTATCACTCTCAACTGAAATCAACTTTTCTTATTATTTTTCAAATTTCAAGAACATTGTTTCTCAACAGTTGATTAATCATCATCATGTAAAACAAAAGCAAAAAGACAACCTAAACAACATACACAACAACAAAATAAACCTGTTGATGAATACATGAAAAGAATTAAACCAAATGCAAAATTAAATGTATGTTTTTCACAATAAGTATTCAATATAGTTGGATCTGTAAATTGAACAGATGATTTCACTTTGAAAACCCAAACACTACCCTAATTGACATTTTCTCAAATTTAGAATTAATCGAATACGATGATTTTACTTACAACAATATGCCAAGCGAGGCCAAATAATCCCCAAATTCCATTAATGAATCGTAAACAAAGATCACATCATTTTTCATTCTCTTCTTTCGAACAGCACAAACATTTTATAATTACCTATAAATGAAAATTTCTATTCGAATAAATTGAATAGTTTTGTCATACTGTAATGATTGTAAATACACTTGTGAAAACACCAAATGCTCCATAAACGATTAACCATATTGGAATTTTTGTTTGTATAGGACATTGAGATTGTCTCTCTAAACCAACACATAATGCCGCAATCGATAAACTAGACCAAATTAATGTGAAAATAATTTGACCAATAGTTTTATATACAGTACTGACGTGTTTATTAAAATTATGAGCAACATTTTTTACACCTCGTGCCATTTCAACTTTTTGAAATAAATGTTTTACTTTTCATATCATTTACTTTTTTTTCTCTATCATCACAAACTTGTTGACACAATTAGATAGAAATTCTTAGAAATAAATAATAAATCTTTCAAAAATGTTATCAACACGTGTATGGAGATTCTTATTTATCTGGAAAACAAATAAAAAACGTCATAGACAAAGTATTTTGTAATATGGGTAGTGGACATTCGAAGGAAAGAAAAGATTTTCAAATTGGTAAAGCAAGTGAATTTTATTGGGCATGTCGAAATGGTGATTATCAAAAAGTAAAACATTTACTTGTTCATTTAAATTTTGAACAATTGAGTCAAATTGAACCAAATGGAAGTACAGCACTTCATGCTGCTACTCACAATGGACATTATAAAATTGTCGAATTACTTCTTAAACAAGGATGTCCTCGAATAACATTGAATCGATTTGGTCATACTGCCTATGAAGAAGCTCAAACTGAACAAATGCGCGCTGTTTTTCATCGACAAACACATCAAAGATTTGTTGATGAAAATCCAATTGAATCATTTGAATTAACGTCGAAATCATCTGATGATAAACAAACAACAGATGATGTTCCTGATGATTGGGTTAAAGGTTATACGACAAAGAGAGGTGCACATGAAGCAAATCTAATGCATGCCATTGGAAAAGCATCTCTAATTATGAGAAAAGTTTTACAAACTCGATTAGAAAAAGATTTTAAAGAAGAATTCGAGAATTTTCTCGAAAAAACAATTCATAATGATGATCCATATCGTTCAAATGTTCTGAAATATTTTAATAAATATAAAGAAGAAAAATCTGTTGAATCCTTATTTACATTATATACAATGGAAACACCAATTTATGGAGCATTGCAAAATGATTGTGAAATGTTTATTGCTTTACTTTATATGCATTTACCGGCTTTAAAAGATCGTGTATATCAAAGTATCGCTTATCGAGGTGCTCGAATGACATATGATGATCTTCATGCATATCGATGGACACTCGTACAACATAGAAGTGTGTTGGAAACACGAACTATTCAATCAATGTCAAAAAATAAACACAAAGCGTTAGAATTTGCAACACAAATGCATACATCCAAACCATATTCAATTTTATTAATTTATCATTTCCCTCAAATTTGTCGAACAGCGATTGATTTAACAAAAATATCGGAAACTAAAACAGCATTGTCAGAATATGAAGATGAAGAAGAAGTTACTCTTCTTCCTTTTACTTTATTTCAAATTTCAGATATCAAAGTTGATACAAAAAATAATAAACATTATCGAATTACATTACAAAACATTCCTGTGGAAAAGAAATCCATTGTTGGTGCGCTTTTAGATATGGAGTAAGTCAATTATTCCATATTTTTTTCAATTTATTTACAAATATTTCTCCATAACAAAATTCAACTTTTTTTGTATGAAAATTATCGATTTTGACGTATTCTTTTGAGAAATGTCATTGATGATTGTTTAACTAAAATTTGTTTTTCAAGAAAAATTCAATAGAAGGAACTTTATTTCAAAAAATTATTTGGATCCATACAATTTTTTGATTTTGACAATACCCAATCAGTAATATCGCACAGTCCACTCAATTTACCATTAATAGAGAAAACATTCTAAGAATAATACAGAATTGATGCAAAACAAGATATTAATTTGACAAGGACTATTTCATCATATGATATTTGTGTTATTTCTCGATCATCAGTAAGATTTTCTACACAGAATGTGTATCTATAAACTGAAGAGTTTGATTTTTAAAAAGATTTCTTTCATTTCAGATTTCATTCACTATTTTCCTTGAAAATTTTCATATATTTATTTCAATCAGGACGAAATAACTGGACATGTTCAAAATCAAATCCATCTACAAAATATTAATATATGTATCATAAGTATTAGTATGAATTCTTATTGATATTCCTGGATCATCTTCATTTGTATGATTACAAAGAGTTATTTCCCATGTTATAAATGGAATCGTACTACGATTCGAAACATTGTTCATATCGAAATTCAAAAATCGACCCAATGAATTCTCACACTGTTACAGGCATGTACACACATGCCTTCACATCGTCCTCTCCATCTATTTCTGCTATCTTCGATACATATCCTCTTTCGCATCGTTTCGAATAAACAGATTGAGATTCGTCACTCGAATGAAGACATCACTAATACACACCAATCCGTGAAAATATCAATACTTGCTAAACGTTTACCAATCTATAATGATAAATTACCTGTAGAATCCATCATAACAGATGTTAACTTATAAGTAACTATTGCATTTGTGATTTTCATTGATGAAATGAAAATGAATAATAATAGAATTCGATTAAGATATCTAAACAATTTTTTCATCTAAGAAAATAATACAAAATCAAATAATCTTTATACGATCATAAATATGTGTTGTGAGGACACCGGTGTCACATTTTCAATCTCTACTTAACATAATAACCATTTTTTCATCTAATTTTCTATCTGACACTTATGTTGCTTTATAATATGAAATATAACCACGATGTTGGTCTTTCTATAAATTCGTCTTCTACTATCACAAGAAAAATAACAATGTCAACATAGATCTTATCAAAATATATCTTTACTTAACACTCATTTTTGCTCTTAAGTGATAACGTTACGAATATATTCTATCTAAAAGTTCTAATTATAAGTTGAATATAATGAAAGAAATCTCTATTAATTACAAATATTGATTTTTAAAATTATCGATAATGTAAAGATTTACTATGCGATAGTAATAATAATAATAATAACAACAGAGTCCCATAGGCTTATTGATCATAGAGACCAGCCACAGTTATTATTAATTCTTTGGGAACAGACTTCTCTTTCGTAGAAAAGTGAAATTGTGTTCCCAGGACTAATTATATTTCGAAAGTTATTATTGATGGGTAAAATGATATACCAATATTGCACGAAGAATTCTATTATATCATTTGGATAGAACGAACGCGAATTTTTTCTTTTAAAATCTAACAATTGAAAGTCTTATCTTAGTTTATTGCTCAAAGTTGTGCTTGCATATGAACTCTCAATGGCGATGTTTTCAGTTGAAGTTGATAAACTTTGGAAAGACCAATAATAATTTTCAAATCTTGTTATTAGTCGTTAAAAGAAAGCGTCAAGATAAACAAAGCTAATTGTCACGTCTTGCTATGCGAAGGTCAAGGAATTATATATTCAGAAATATATAATTAGAAAAGATCTTTATTCTTGAATAAAGAGACAGAGGGACAGAGAAGAGAACAAGTCAAAGAGAGAGAACTACCCGACACACATATATAGAAAACATGAATATATATATATATACGTGTGTAAAGGAAAAGTCCAACAACGCGCAAGGAAAATACATAATGACGTCATGTGTGTGTGGATAATCCCATACTACATCACACTAATGACACTAGAATAAAATGAATGAAACAGATATGTTTTACTTCAAAAGTTCGAATATTTCGAATGTCTCTCATCCATTCAGTGTATTGATGAACAGACGAAATCCGGTACACCATTTCAAAGATTGTATTACAATATAACTAGTTTCATATAAAAAATATGCAACAAAATACTGTATAATATAGTTGTACTTGTTTATTATAATTATAAATATTTAAAAATGTATACAAGTTGGTGGATAACTCCACAAAAGCATGTCTATGGGAAAATTCATAAATTTACATATTAGCCGCCACCGCAGCTGGCTCCACCACCTCCGCCACCGCAGCTGGCACCACCGCCTCCGCCACCGCAGCTGGCTCCACCACCTCCGCCACCGCAGCTGGCTCCACCGCCTCCGCCACCGCAGCTGGCACCACCACCTCCACTATGATGGCCGTGATGATGATGATGACTAGTAAAAACTGGAGGTGCTACAGCACCAGCACCAATGCCATAGAAGTTATTGTATGGATAGCTTTGTGCATATGGTGAATATCCATAACCATAAGGACCACCATAGTTATAATTCCTTATAGGTGTTGGGCGTGGATAACGACGTCGATATCTTGATCGTTCAGAGTTTGATGCACGTCTTAACCATGCAGGTATCATTTCTTATTTATTTATTTATTTACTACGATAAACTATGACGATTGATCGTATTTATTGATGGAGGAAAAAGCAATACGCAGTATAATGACAAAATGATACGCCTCATTACTCATTCAATGTAAATAAAAGCATAGAAAAAAAAATGATAGGATGAGTAATACGGCTTGTCCAAGCGTAACGGTGTGATATTTTGACACGCTATTTTATCAATATCCCAACAACTATAAACGCTAGAGAGTTCATTCAAACGTCATTCGACGCAGCTTGGCATACTCTATGTCCACTGCAAAGATGAATAGTTTCCATCACTCGCTCGAATTTATCGGTGTGAAGCTAGCACGAAGGAGCTAGCACGAACAAACGATGTGTTAGCTAAAAACGTTTTTACTAAGTATGTCCCGTCTATGAAAACTACACCATTCGACTCAGAATTTAATTCTGCATCGAATGGTGGCANTTGCTGAAACATTATCGGATAGATCAAATGTTTCAGGAAGATGGTCAAATTGATTTTCAAAATAGAATAAAAATAATGATTGAACGTTTTGAATGATATCGAAATCTTCTATGTTATTTGCAGCAACATTTTCATTCATACTTAATAATGCCTTAAAAAAGAGCCAAGAAAATCTTATTGACAGATGAACAAATGCTTACGGTTTGAATATTATCAAACTCTTCATTGGACGTTTTTTTCTTTTGCTGTCGATTAAGGATGAAATCTTTTCTCATACCCATTGAAAAACATTTATTTAATCGACATCGAAAACATCGTCGATTTATTTGATAATCAATTACACATTCGTTTTTACCTGTCAAACATTTTAATCTTTCCTTCAAATAATCAATATTCATATAAAGTAGAAAGAAATTTTTAACTTTACCAAATTCTCATAAGCATGTCCATAAAAAAATGCTTTACATGAAGCACATGAAAGAACATCATAATTATAACCAATAGCATGATCACCACAAATAACACACCTGGAATTTGTTATTGATTTTCTCGAACGTTTTGATTGTTCATTATTTCGATCACTTGTTGAACTCTATTTTCAAAGAGACAGAAAAAGAAATAATATTCTCTGTTTGGTATATATATATATATTACGCACATGCTTTGATACTGTTGCACTGATGGGTTCACCAGTATCCAAATCGATTATATATGTATTTTTACTACTTTTTAGAGATATTTCATGAACTAACTGTTCATCTGATGTTATATATATCAATTTTTTCTCAGTAGTCATTACTTTGCCTGTTTTTTTACTAACGATGACGATACTATTTACATGTGCGAGGAAAAGGAATATATTACTATCGTAAATGACTTATTCAACCTATGAATATAAATGTTGAATTTCGACCGTAGATGGCGCAAATGATCGAACAAAATTTCCGAAAACTCATGTTCATGCTTGAAAAGTGAGACTTTCGAATGATTACATGTGTGTGAAAATAAATGGCCGTGTAAATACTAACCTTTACACTTTTTTCCAGACAAATCGGAAGATTTTTAGTCGCCAACAATTTTTGGTTGTATACACGCAAATTGTTTCTAGTCAGCGTGATTTAAGTCGAAATGTCTAATTATTACGCGCTATCACACCAAATACTGACGAGGGAGGTACCCGAAGTGTCCACTCGCTTTACAGCTCATATTTTGACCATAGGTAGACTTCAATGGGACTAGTAGGAAGGCAAAAGGATTTGTGCCCGCAGTTCCGTAGTTAAAATTTATGACCACCTCATCGTTGATACGGAATATGTGATCAAGAGTCTGAAAATGTTTTCTGGAAATCTTTTGATGTAAATAGTTACTTTTTCCAACAATAGTAACATGTCGTCCAATGTATATCTGCATTCCCTTTCGTTTCTGTTGTGTAGTGGTCACAAAATAAATGTAATGGGTAATACGTAAGCCTGCTAGATTATGTGTATTTCTTTATTCACTCAGAAAAGTAAAATGATAAAAATCGTGTCTGTGACAACCATGTTGGTTGATCGCATTGCGAAAAAAGATTCGTATAGTCCTTCGGGTAACATTCATGAGGAGAGGCTCGTCGATCAGTTATATCAAGTACTTGAAGACGTTGCAAACAAGTTCATCATACCAAGTAGAAGATGGAAGTACACTCGACTACGACGACTCGTTCGATGACATCGAAGTCGATGAAGAAAACGATCCTACTTTTGATGGAAGTGAGAACGAGGAAGATCGTGACGACGACGCGACCGGAAAACGAAAGCGTACATGGAAAAGTGTCCAGGATCGATTTAGACGGAGCCGTCACAAACGATATCTTGGCCGCTTTCGCAAATATCTGGAAGATCATGGCACAAAAAAGCAAAAAATAGATGATATCGATACGTTCGTATTTGAAAGATTCGTAGCATCGAAATATTGGATTACTACTTTTAAACACCGTCACGGTATTGTCTCTCGAAAAATTATGCTGTTCGTTACAAAACATGTCCTCGATGATGCTGAGGAAATTGAACAGGCAGCTGCTCGATTTCTCGAGCTGCATTGCACTCGGACGTTAAGTTGTGAAAGTGAAAAACTGACAATGGCCGCTGTCAAGTCTAAAAATGCCATCACTCATTCTTGTACTGTGCAACCAGTGATCAATCAAGCCGATGAAGTAGTAGGACCAATTTACCTATATTTCAAGGAACCCGACGAGTGGATATGCGAGAGTGAGTTTGCAAATATGTTTTTCCGTCTTCAGTTTGAACTTTCCTAGATGTTCGCGCAAAAATGTTTCAGCCAAGAAATGTCGCCATCAGATGTAGCAAATCTAGCAAACTGACCAAATGGCTCGTTCATTACTGGTCTGATATGGTTCTGGCTCCGAGTGCACACAAGAAGCGTCTTCTTTTCTCGGACGCCTGTCCTACACAGAGTGAAATCGAAATACACAAGAAAGTACCAGATTGCAGCCGCTCGATGTGTTTTGTAATCGGCAGATGAAATCAATAATACGTCGTGCTTGTGATCGTGTAATTCTCGACCTACTGCTAATTGCTATGAGCACACGGGACTATGTCGACAAACATTCGAGATGAAGTATATTAGAAATTTTTCAGAAATCGAGGCTTGGCATTCATAAAAAAACTTAGGAGCACGGTGTTTGGTGATCGTAGTAGGCTACAATAGTTACTTCAGAAAATGTTACCATTCAAATCAGAAGATTTTCAGGCTCTTGATCACATATTTTGTATCAACGATGAGGTGATCATAACTTTTGACTATGGAACCATGAACACAAATCCTGTTGGCTTCTTACTAGTCCCATTGAAGTCTACCTATGGTCAAAATATGAGCTGTAAAGCGAGTGGATGCTTCGGGTACCTCCCTCGTTAAGACTTTTTGGTGGGTTAACGCTTTTACTGCGTATTCTTGTACTACTCGTCTTTTACTTCTTCTGGCATATCTACATTAAGCTCAGTAGCGTTGTCCATGTTGAATCATCCATTAATTCAATCTTTGATTTGATCTCTTCGCTTATCGCTTCATATTTTTCATTTAAATCAGATACAAATAAATTTTCTCGAGCATCGTCATATCGTTATCTCCTCTATTTTAATAGTGACCACGAAACAGTATCAGATATGATAGCGTAGGTCTCATTTTGATGTCACACTCACTTTTCATCTCTCTTTTCTCCTGTTACGCTATTGTCATAATTTTTCTCTTATAATTCTCATTCTGATGAACAGTCCCGTATATCAATTTTTCATGCATAGAGTTTGTATGATTTCAGGGCAACGCAAATAAAGGGTGGAACAAAAGTCCTTACTCGACTTATATAATGAAACTTTCATCACTAAACCATATATTTTTCATTAGGTTTAATTAGAAATCTGTTTTTATTGTATAATGTTTGCTCGTCAATCTTACCATCATACTTCAAGTTCTGTATATTTCTTGTCACTTTCTGTCTTTGTTTAGACAATGTTTCCATTAACGTACACACTTAATTATTCTGATCTTCAGACCGAATCTGAAATTTATTGTCAATGTGATGACATCCATTGAATGTTCAAATAATCTTCTTTATGGAGCGTTTACGTATGCTCGTCTTAATTAAAAAACAAACAAAGATTGTTTCAATCATCGATTAAGGTTATTTCGTGAAAAGTTTATTTCAACTTGTGCAAATTAAACAATAAAAACATTTGTTGAAGACAAAATGATTTCACTTTGTCATTACGATTAAAACAAATATCTTTGTGATTATAATCAAATTGTTCAACAAAATTTTCATCGAAATTCTTTTTCCACTCAAAATCATTTCCAGTAAAACAAAGAACGTCGATGGATACTCGATTGAAGTATTTCGTAAAACTTATGAATAGTTTTCTGTTGTCATGTGACCAAATTATATATTTCCATTTGCATAGAAAAAGAGAAGAGAAATATTTCGCGTATACCAAAGTTAATTCGATCGTGAGAAATTTGATAACAAATAAAACATTGTCGCGTCGAATTGACGAGAAAATGATTCAAATAAGTATAATCGAAATCATGGAGTATTTCCTTATTTATATTGTTTAAATATCGAAGATTTGAATTCTATCTGATAAGATTTGTTCTCATAAATACGCTGTTGTTGTTGTTTCTTTTTACTTTTTGCTCTTCAATGATTCATAAAATGATTTGCGTCATATCTATGTTTAGTGATGTGTGTTAGACTTATTTTTTCTCTCTTTAAATATTACTCGATCGATCGATCGATCGATATTTTCAACACAATGATCAAAATCATTGGATATATTATTTGTTTCTCCGTATTGTTTTTCATAGGAGGGATCATTTTAGCAATTTTATGTGGAAATGAATTCCATCGATTGAATCAATTTGTTATGCGACAGTGTTTTGTCAAATCTCAAACAATTTCTCATCAACAATTCGTGTTCCATGTTCTTCTTTCTAATTCCAATGGAACAAATGTGAATACAGAAATCTTGTTATCAACAAAAAATCGTCATGTAATTAATTCATCTGATGAATATCAAGTAAATGAAAAGATTTTGATTAAAAGAAAATCATTTGTCAAAAAATTTTCTTTTAGAATAATCGTTCTTATTCGTGTTATTATAAATTTCCATATCTGAGATCGAGTGAACTTCACTTTGGTTCTCCTTCAAAAACACGAGCAATTGCTTTTCTTTCTTCTTGTATCATTTTGATATTCATCAGTAATTTCATGTGTTGTTTCAGTTGTTGTTGTTGTTTTATTTATTATCGAAGCAAATCTCGACACGAAAATAACATTGGTGTTCTTGACAATACAAGTGAAATGACACAAACATCATCGACAAGTTTCAACTCAAGAAGAGATCGACAAGAAAATCTATTTACATACGAACAAAATCTTTTTCCTCCTTCATATGACGATGCAATACAAGGAACAAGTTTAGAACATTTAAAAAGAAATGTTGATAATGTATTCAATCGATGGCCATTAGGAACACAAATGCCAAATGCAGTTCGATTTTAATAAATATATATGTTCTAATCTAATCAGATTTCAAATTGAAGTTTAAATTGAAAAACACATAGTTTCATCTTGAACACATTTCAATTGAAATCTGAGAGTTATATGAACTTCAAAGTATCACTCTCAACTGAAACCAATTTGTCCTATTATTTTTAAAATTTCAAGAAAATTGCTTCTCAAAAGTTCATTAATCATCATCATGTAAAACAAAAGCAAAAAGACAACCTAAACAACATACACAACAACAAAATAAACCTGCTAATGAATACATGAAAAGAATTAAACCAAATGCAAAATTAAATCTATGTTTTTCACAATAAGTATTCAATATAGTTGGATCTGTAAATTGAACAGATGATTTCACTTTGAAAATCCAAACACTACCCTAATAAACATTTTCTCAAAATTTAGAATTAATCGAATATGATGATTTTACTTACAACAATATGCCAAGCGAGGCCAAATAATCCCCAAATTCCATTAATGAATGGTAAACAAACATCACATAATTTTTCATTCTCTTCTTTCGAACAACACAAACATTTTATAATTATCTATAAATGAAAATTTCTATTCGAATAAATTGAATAGTTTTGTCATACTGTAATGATTGTAAATACACTTGTGANGAAGCTCAAAACGTGGCCGTAATCGAGGAAACTACTCACAAAAGTACGAAGCAATCCTAGTTACCAAAGTGAAACCCAAATAGCTCATTTGGTAGAGAATTGAATTCTGCATCGAATGATGTGTCCTCGGGCAGTCTTTGACAAATTTTATTTAGTAAAAAACCAAAAATACGATTTCTGAAAAGACGAAAACCAGATTTTGAATGAAAAAAAATTATTTTTATACAAAACGGACATCGAATTCGTAAACAGCGTTAAAAACTACAACCATTAGCCTATTCAAACTTCATCAGCTCGAAAAAAAACATTTTCAAAACTTGATCAGTGAAGTGTCACTTTACGTAGACAAGCCGAATAACGTTTGTCTTCCTTTCCCTCTACTTCCTTTTTATGCACTTGAATAATAACGACGCATAACTTTTTTCCAACATTGAAATCATATCAAACGTGATATTATATTAAGAATACACTTGGAAAAATAATAATATCTGCAGACAACTGTTCAATGCAATATTCGATTCGCGAAACTCATCAGTAGAACGCAGAAAATATGATTTCTTAACGATGTTTATATATTGGAGGAAAATGGTTATTGAACAAATACTCAAGATTTAAACCAATATAGAAAACTTCGAAAGATTTTCATTTTCTCAACAAATCTTTATGTTTAAATGAGAAATATGAATATGATTTGATCGATTTACATGTTATTCATAATAATAATTGAGCTAATAATTAACAACAAGTAAGTTTGATGAATGATTAACTTCTTAAAGAATATTTCTTAGATATTGCGAACAATGAAATTAATATAAATTTGATCTCTCATCATTAAAATAAAATCAATAAAGCAACAATTGAACAATTTGATAGTTTTATCGATTTGAACACAACATTTCCTATTAATATATCGAAATATTATGAAATCATTAAATATTTTATCAAGAAAAATATGTATGACATACATTAACGAATGAAAATTATTCATCGATAAAAGTTTCTGTGATAACATAGATTTATTAGAGATTTAGATTTTATTTGAATCTCTAAAAAAAAAGCATACTGATACAGTTGTTAAAATTCTAGAATAAAATAAAATTTTTCGAATAAATAAGATGAGCATGCATAAAAGTTTCAGTATCAGTTCAATTAGTTATATTTTAGTTTCCTTATAGTTATCCACATAATTCTGCATTGAACAAAGGATGAACGTCATTATCTAACCCACCAGCAACTAAAATCCGCCCATTAGCCATTATTGTGGCGGTATGATAACCACGCATTGTATTCATATTACTGGCTTTTGCCCAAAGGCCAGTAAGTGGATCATATATCTCTGTTGTATTCACATAGACACTATTACTGATTCCACCTACAACTAACACTCGCCCATTCGGTAGGAGAGATGCTGTATGCCATTGTCGTGGAATTGTCATGTTCCCAGTTTTAGTCCATAAGCCCGTAGTTGGATCATATATTTCCGAAGTATCGGTATAGTATTTATTAGAAAGTCTTCCACCTGCAACAAGAACTTTTCCGTCGCTTAAAATAGTGGCCGTGTGTCGAGCTCGTGCTGAAATCATATTGCCTGTTCTGCTCCAAACTCCTCTTGTTAAATCGTACAATTCTGTACTACTTAATAGACCAATTGAGGATTCTCCGCCGACCACCAGAACTTGTCCATTAGCTAATACAGAAGCTGTGTGCAGGGTACGATCGATACTCATACTACTAGTAACTGTCCACAATCCTGTTAATGGATTGAAAAGTTCGGCACTACTCAGACTAGTAATACTGGAATTTCCACCGGTGACTAAAACATTTCCGGTTGTTAACACTGATGCTGTATGACTGTCTCGTTCCACGCTCATATTTCCAGTCATCGTGCATGATCCTGTCAACGGATCATATAACTCTGCAGTATTTGGACTGCTACCATTACCTTTCCCACCGGAAATTAATACATTACCATTGTTTAGTAACGATAATGTATGATAAGCACGTGCGAAAAACATGTTACCAGTTCTATTCCATAAACCCTCTGCTCGATTGTACACTTGCGTAATTAAAGCAGCTGAACTTCCACCAGCCACTAGTACATGTCCATTTTTTAGCAAAACTGATGCATGTGCATAACATCCAGCTACCATATTAGTGGTACTTGACCATCCTGAAGGAAAACGAAACAATCATAATATCACAATACAAAAAAGTTATTTAGTTTTTCTTGTGTTTAATTGAAGTAGGAAGGGTATGTGTCTAATTTTACAAACTATAATAATATGAAGTCAAGGAACATTTACAAAACAAAAAACAAGCATCCATAATCGACTCAACATAGGGCAGTACAAAGTACAATGTTATTTTACTAGTTATACCTATCACTTCTAAATATATTTCAATGTTACAAAAAGTAAATTATTTGTAAAATAAACGAACTGAATTCTAATCGCTTAGTTCAATGATATTATTATATATGATGAAAAGTCATTATCGAAGACGCTTTTTATCATTTACAACAAAAAATTCTGATGAAGAAAAGTCAGAATTATATTTATTTTTCTAAGATATTCTTTCTGAATTAGTATTGTAATATAGAAGTATAAACTGAAAGGAAATCATTCCTTATACTGTGCACTTGTCAAAGAAAACAAGTAATTGGGAAATCATATTTTACGCATTTCGTATCGGCATGAATATTTAATAAAAAGTCTTTCAGATATTCCTGAAGGTTAAATATCATCTCAGCGTACACATAATATACTGAATATTGAGGAAAAATCTTACGTGGAATATTGTTTGTCGAATTGTCGTTCAATGATGGACATCGTTGAGATGAAGCACGCTCTAATGGGTAACACACAGGACGATTACAATGTGTGTTATTGACACATATAGTATTAGGTATTGAACATGTCTTATTATCATTTTCACATGATTGTAAATTGTTGCATGGCATCACTGCATCGGCACATATTCCTCTTTCAGTCAATGTTGTCCATAAACATTCACAATCAGAATTTGTTGAGCATCGAATTGTTCCTGATTGAGAGTATGGAGCTGGAGAACATTCACAGCTAGATGATTGTGCATTGACGGTTCCTTGGTCTGAAAAATCGCCGAAGAAAAAAACAAAGAATAGATTAAATCTATCAAACATCTTTAAGAATTTATGTTTGACATAAAATCATAAAACTTCACTACTTCAAGTTTTATCAATTGGAAAACAGATAATAAGTAAATCGTACCTGTAATAAAATGAAGAAAATATCTAAATATAAACACAATAATGTTACATCATTGATTTATCTTAATACAAACACTTACATTATGATCAAAACTAGGTAAATGAGAAATTGTTGTTGCATTATTGTTATAATATACGTTTCATTTGTTTGTGATAACTTCTATCGAAAACATAAAATAAAGAAAATTATTGAAAATATGATAATAATTGAAAACAATGATAAAATAGAAAAAGGACATTTGATTTACGAATTACAAATAGATCATCCATTGAAGAAATCGTCCCCGCGAAAGTTTAAGATTGATTGTGTTTTTTTAAAATTTATTACAAGTACTCGAAACTAAAAATGCATCGACCTGTGTGAACTTTCTGTTGAGTAATATAAGAGAAAATTCAATAGCGCTAGTGTCATTACAACAGTTTACAGTTTCATTTTCAGTAAACATTCTTATACTTCCAGAACTATCTTACCTATAGAGAAATCATATCATATTACAGTATAAATCAAGAGTATTCTTAACATCTATGACATTTCAATTGGTCTTCTTTTTGGATTCTATCTATTAGATATTTTTAATTTTGAGATTCTTATTCATTTTTTCTCTTGAACATTATTTTTAGTTATTTTTGAAAGCAAAAATTCTCGAACTTTTCTACAGTAAAACTGGTCTTTTGGATCTAATCAGAGGTAATTCGAACTAAATCGACAGTTTCAACATCTTATAAACTGAAATCTATTTTAATTTTTCTTTGAAAATAAAAGAATTGTATGACATGTTTATCTCAACATCTAAAGATAATCCTCTAAAAGTTTCAAATTTCTACACAAACAGATTTTTCGTTAAAAATTATATATTACCGATATAAAACGTGCCGATTGTGGATGATGAGTTCTACAATGAATGAATGAAGAGTGTTGTTTTCGTATGAACTGAGTGTAGTACAGATTTTTAATCCTTTTATATGTTTTATATGCGATTATTTACGATTTACCGAACCATAACTGAAATTTTTTTTCCCAACATACATTCATCGAAATTACGTTTGTATACGTGTCTTTCAACCTTTATATTCGATCATGTCATTAATTACAGGTATGTTATTATAGTATAATAAATGAATATTCTCCTTATTACTAATTTTGTTGGAAAAAACCTACATCCTCACCTTTACTCTAATTCATTATTACCTTATAGTCAGGCAGTCGTTCGTTTTTTCTCATATAAACAAACTTTTACATATTGTATGACCATACTCTGTAAGACAGAGGAAGTATGATTGTGTTTAGTAGTTAAAATTTCAGTAATCAAATAAAGATTTCATGTAAAAATATGAGAGAAAAAATTTTCTCTTGATCAATTTTTATTTTTGGTAAAAATAGATTACAAAGTATGATTTTAACGAGATCTTATTCTATCGTTTGATTCTAATTAATTTTGATCTAATTCATTGGGCAAGTCAAAATGCGCCCATCGAATATCTTTAAAATAGGTTTTAATATGCATGATCGGATGCGAAGTAATCAGATGCACAGAGATTGTCAGAATCCGTCTAATTCAACAAGAACACACAACTTGCGTTTCATCCGAAAAGACACATCCAACAGAAAACAATCGAAAAGAAACTATAATAATCATTTATCTATTCGTTGATATACTTGTGATGATAGATTTCTAGAAATTTCGCTGAAAATATTCTTTACCAAGGTTAACAAATGTCATCGATTGATTTTTTTTACATTGAAAAATAATCAAAACGATCTGTTTTCGATTAACAGTCTCTTCCCACGGAAAAATTTTTCGATAAAAACTGCGGTAAATCACGGTGCAGGACACCGTTGATCTTTGAGGTTTAATTACACCGCAAAAGTCAGACCTTTTATTAGGTTTTCTCACACCGCCTGAACCCGCGGTTATTAACGATTTCAAAGAATTTACTAGTAACTTTATAAAAATCTTAGAATTATTAGTAATATCTCTACTATCTCAAGAATCTTATCGACCTTTCTTAGATATTTATGGTAATGATGAACTGTATATAAATTAAAAACGATTTTTATTAATATCTATATTAATAACTATTATCATATAAAAGAATAATTCATCTTAATAAGACAGTAAATAAAATAATAGAAATATTTATGAAAATATCTAATTGATAAACCTCAGCTTTATGTGATTGTGAAAAACATATGTGTCTCGTAAAAATGAAAGATGTTTTTGTCTACTGAACACTTTTGGCGATCATTGCGAATTTTATACACATCATATTACTATTGTATTTACATTGGATATGACAATAGATTATACTAAATCAAATACTACGGCAGTTTGAGTTGTTAATCTTCTTGAATATCAGGGGAAAATAATTGATTTTATGATACTATCTTATAATCCATTTTAATTACCAGTGAAAAAAAGCAATGTTTTTATTTGTTTTATCCATGGTCATTACTAAAAACCATTCATCAATCATCTTCTCAAGGTTATACAGTTGTTTTTCAAAATAAAATTGATCTTCTTTCTATTTGGAAGTATCCAGTAAAATTTATCTTGAATTGTTGTTTTATATACATATCCACTATCAATTAAGAATTCTCAATCATTTTCATTTACCAACAATAGAATAATATCTAACAAATGATACATTTCTAAATCAAATGAATTATTTCATCAAAGTCTCGTTTATATTTCATTTAATGAAATATCGAAGAATATTTAATGATATCATCATAGAACATACAGGAAATTCGAATGAACGAACTAATTCGGGTTCAAACATAAATGAAAATTCAGCTGTTCCACAGAACTTCGAATATGAATGAAGAAAATGAAAAGTAAAACTATGCTTTCATTCGACATTTACTCTTTGTTTTTCTATAGACACAAATATGAATGTTAAATATATTGAAAATCAAGTTTGTCAATACATGAAAACATCTAATATAATGATGTAAGTCAAGAAAAATGTAATTACTTACAGAAATTCGATGGACAGTTCTATTCAACTGAATTATGTCATCTGTGATTCGTCATATTGAACAAAAAGATTCATGTTTAACTCGTATCTGTTTTGGTAAGTTTATCTAAAAGATTATTTAGGACTTCATTAACTTTAAAATAATTGATTCTTTTAGCACCACGAAAACGTATTTTATGAGAAGATTCTCTTTAATAATAAAAATCCGAATTCTTGTAGATTTTCATCTTGTACATGATTAATTACATTAGTTGATGATTTAAACAAAAAAATTCAACAGTATGCTGATGATGATTATATATTTGACACTAAGATATGTTTTCATTAATGAATTGACCTAAAATGAGTGTTGATCCCGCATTTACGAGTGACTTTGAAACTGCGTTTTTTTTTGTTGCAGTTGATGATTTCACTAAATGATTTCATATAAATGTTTCAAAAAATCCTGCATAGTAAACCTTCAAGCATTCAACAACAATAAACAGTCGATATCATAGACTTTGTCTTCCAATTTCTATAACAAACACTTTTTCATGTATTGAAAAATCCATATGATTACAAAATATATTCAATGACTTAATCTTTATCTCTCGAATAGAAACAAAAGAAAAAACATCTGAACTGTTGAAATACAAATCTTATATCGATCATTTCTATGTTAATTTAACATTATCCGAAGGTAATAGAAAAGCGGTACGACATTGGATGAACTGATGCTCAGATTGTTTCCTAACACACATGTTGTCATAGTTACGAAAGAAAAGATAAAAGATGCTCAAAGCAAAGCCTCGTTTTTTCTTCTTTTTCTTCTCGTTTGATTCATCTTGACATTCTGACGGATAAAAAGAACCTAAAGAAAGAAATTCCTTTGAAATGACATACATTCATCGTCGAAGATTTCATATGTGTTTATTCATCTTCATTTTGATAGTCATTTTAATAATTTCTCTTCGATTTCAACGTTCAATCGATGTAAAATATTTAACAAAAGATGATTTAATTAAATATGGAAATGTGAATGGATCACGTAAACGAATTCCTCGTTTAATTCATCAAACTTATGAAACATTGAATATTCCTCCAATTTGGAATAAATCAATTCAATCAATTCTCGAAACAAATTCGAAAGATTTTCAATATATTCAATGGACACACAAACAAATGAAATTCTTCGTTAAAAAACACGAACCAAAATTTTATCATCAAACTTACGTTCATTATAAATATGAAATGCAAAGAATTGATTCATTTCGTTATGTTTTAATGTATCATTTAGGTGGAATTTATCTCGATATGGATAATGGTTGTAATTATCCATTGGAATCACTTTTAACAACAATAGAAACATTAAATCCAAATTCAACTTTTCTTGTTCTTTTTCCACAAGAAGATACATTTGGAATTCAAACAGATTTCATTGTTAGTACAGCAAAACATCCTATTTTTCGACAATTTATTTCAAATTTACATTCTTTTAATCATTATTATATTCTTCATCATTTAACAATTCTGCTTAGTGCTGGTCCATTGTTTGCCACTTTTCAAGAAAGATTTTTTCGTCAAACGAATGAAGAAATTGTGAGAATTTTACAAAATCAAGTTTATAAATCGATTTTTTGGAAAACAAATGGAGGAAGTTGGTTTGGAAGAGATACTCTCATTATTCTTTTTCTTTATTATAATCGATTTACAATTTTCAAATATTTTCTCATCATTTTTCTCGTTTTTCTTATTTTATTCAAACGACGTCAAATTAAGTTTTCTTTTTACTTTTTCCAACGAATATTTCTTCAATGGCAAAACAAAATTAGATGATTTCAAAAGTGTTCACATAGATCTGATATTTGGTAATTATTATGAATTTGTATCAAACAGATCAATGATTTATATCTGTTCTATGAAATATCATCAAGTATCAAGTATCGTCTTTGATTATTCTGTTTAATTAAATCGGGCAAAGATTTGTCAGAGGATCTGTTGTCTGAATTCAATTAGAAGTAAATTGAAAAAACAAAGAAAACAAAAACTTTCCCTGTAGTCATGTCTCAAAATAAATTTGTTTTTCTTCGAAATAGTATAAATTCATTACAACCTCAGTTATAATTGTGAAAATATGGGATAATATTTCTACACTATTGATTAATGATTGGTCCGATTTTGAGCGTTTCTTCTTTATTGTAAGAAAGAAAAATTCGTTTATTTTTCTCGAACACTTCTAGATTGTGATTTATCCATCTATTCTCGTTTGTTAACTGAGTAGATAAAAACCTTTGATTACTTTCAATTCATTCCACATTCTTTGACTTTGTTTATCAATTAAATCGAACAGTCGTTCTTGTTCCATTGTCGTAACGTGTGAAAGCAGATTACGAACATTCGAATTCCAATCGTCGATTACTGATTCCAATAAATCAACATTTTCTACGATTTCATATCTTTCTCGATGATAATTATCTCTAATCCATTGCTTAAATCTTCAAGGACCACCGATAATCGTTAGTGGAAAATAAAAAGCAAAACATAAATTTAACTCAAAGAATATTTTCGAATAATATTAATCGAATTGATATTGTTGAATTTCATTTCATCAAATTGTTCTTCATCTACAAATATCCATTTGATAGTCCCACTGTCTGATGAAAACGAAATGTCGAACAGTTTCTTTTAAGGAATTTAATTTTGAACGATATACATTCATATCTAAATCCAATCTTTCTTTATCAAAAAGACATCGAAATCGATCATTTCAATTCGAAAATGAATAGTAAAGATCTCGATAAGAAAAGTATTCAAATATCATCAGTTGTATTTCGTCAGGAAGATGTTGAAAACTTCTAACAATCGACATATTTATCTACAAAATCATTATCTATTCGACTTCTACTACAAGGAGAAAAACAATCAACAAAAGTGTGTATCTTCAAGTAATTGTAAAGCATAACTATGGAAAAAGAACGAAGAAATATGTTTTTGTCATGTGAAGTTGTAAGAACGAAAAAAAGTTTCTTTAGGAAAAAAGCAAAACAAATTCCGAGATGTTTGACGAAAAGAAAAGAAGCAAATATAATATTCACACTTTCACAACTCTTTAAAAAGAAATCAACAGACAAATCTTGAATAAGAATGAATAAACTGTGTTAATATTTCTACAATTAATGTATTTTACATGAATATTATTGATCATCTCATTCGAAAGTTTAATTGAAACTTCATTTTTTCTTTCTCATTCTTTTGGAAATTCAAATTACTTGTAATTGATCGATCCAGGGTGATTGTATATTCGACAAAAAAGTCATTCATTTGATTCTTTCGAATGCATTGTATTGTGAAATATTCAGATAAGAATATTTACATAATCAACATTCTCTTAGTGTACGACTCGAGGATCCATTAATTATTAAAAATTTTATAATAACTCAGCTGTTTCTTGACCGATGATTAGTTTCATCTTCGAGCTCGATCAACATATTGAAAAGATCATTTCGACGTCCATAAAGAAAGAAAAATTCCAATCGAATGTTGATGTAAATGCGCGTATAAGTAATTTCTTTGGGCAGAACGAAAGAAAATCAACTGAAAATCACGGTTGTTCTCCTTCACTACAAAGAATGAGAATTTTTCAACTTAGATGAAAACATAATCTCCGTCACAAATGGAAAGAAACACTATGTACAACAATTTTTCAACGAATCAACTTCAACTTGAAACATTTCCCGATGAACTGTTCTTAGAAATTTTTCAATATATCGAGCCTATCGATCTTTACAATTTCAAAGGTCTCAACAAACGAATTGATTGTCTTGTTCAATGTGTAAAATTGAATATTTTTATTAACTTGTTCAATGACTGTAAACTTGATTATATATCAAGTTTTTCACCCACGCAAATCATTCATTTGCAAATATTTCGTAGTTGGCCATCGATGAATTTACATCGAATGACTGAAATACGATCGCTTACATTTGATTGTATTTATCTTCCAAAAGAACAAATAGATCAAGTAATCTCAACAATTGAAAGACATTTACTTCGAAGATTTTCTCATAATTCAATTCATTTAGATCATAGAGACTAATTTATCTTGTCTAGAACGACTCACAATTCATAATGTAGCACATGATCTACAAACACCATTACTTGATATTCTCTTTCACGGTGAACACTTTCCATCGCTCACGATTTGTTATCTCGAATTGAAATCTTATTACAATTTGACTTTAAATGATGCTCAATCATCATCAGCAACAAATAATAAACTTCGCTGCTTTTTTGTTGATAGATGGAAATGGAATGATCTTGGTTCTCTATTCAATCAATTACCGAATTTATGTAGATTTGAAACAACTTTTGAAAAGAATTATGCCAATGTGATTCGCTCGATCAAACCTCACTTAACGATCAAACATTTGCGAGTTACACTCGATGATCCTTTACATGATTTGGAACGATTAATTCAACGGACGCCTAATCTTAATCGATTGCGTGTTCGAGGAAATCTTCGAAGAAATCCTGTGATTGAATATTTTGAAAAACTGGCAGAATTTTTACCTTCTGTTGTCCCACTTCTCCAACGTTTTGATTGTGAAATTTATTGTTGTTCATTGGATTCTGAAGGAAATGAATTCATAATACAACAATTTCATACATTTTTCAAGAATATTCGATACTTTTCTAGACAAGATCAAAATCAATGCTACACGACTGATATGAAAACTTATCTATTTGACAATAAATATGAAGGTAAATATTTCATAATGATTAACAATAATCTCTATGTCTACTATAGAAAATAACAAGAAATAGATTGGATTATTTTTATTCATGACGATATCTGTACCGTGTTAAAACGTCTTCAGATATTATTTTTTGAAATAAAAAATACCCGA